TAACAACAAATTTTTTTTTTTTTTTAAATAATATTTTTTTCCCGATAAAATTTAGTTAGAAAAAATCCCCGTTTGTGTGGATTTTACATTTTGAACAAATTTTTTAATCAATGATAAATGAATACATTTGATTCGTTAGATGGAGTCAAGGCCTTCTTTTTCATCAGGCAATGGTCGATTGTGCAAGAGCAGCCATATTGCTCCCGTTGGGTATATCAATATATAAATGTCAACCCGTGAATAAATGTTCACTCGTAGAAACTGCTTTTCTCTTGCTCGTGACCGTATCCACGGTCAACATGTTGACCACCGTACTCAACGATTCTCCCGTTTTTCCCGAAGTTGAAACAAACGATGATAGCGATCACAATGCTCCCTTGCTCATGGACAGTCCTCAATGCGTTCTTTTCGGAACGTTCATGATATGGTTTGCGAGCATCACTATTAATTTAGGACCGACTTTTCTGTCCGGAGCATTGGCCGCAAATTCCGAATCCCGTCACAATGCTCCCAGTTGTCCACTCGTGCACGGACCGTTCAGGCATTACGTATTGAACGTTTTATGGATTTTCGTTAACGTCATATGCGTATTCCTTACTCTTTTTCACTTGCATAAGCTATACAGAGATTTGACGAAGGCAAATGTTGAAGCTCTGAGAGTTACGGGTTTAATAACAACTTTGGTTAGCGTTACCTCGAGCGCTCATAAAATTGATGGCGAAAGAACCGACGCGGAAAAAAGTCGGGTAAGACTTTTTGAACTTGAAAAAAAATAAAATTTATGTGTGTGTGTGTACCTTAAAAAATTTTATTTTCTCGTCTGAGCAAGACTGCCACGGAAGAGCACAAAAGAATGCAACGATATTTGCGACGAATGGAAGAAGAAGGCGTTCAACGTGTTAAAATGTTTGTCGTAATAACGGCCGCATATGTTCTCTTTTGGGGGCCGTTATTTTTCGTTACACTCGTACATCATCCAGTTATAGGTTCTCCCATGGGTTATGAGGTAAATAAAAATGTTTTATGAGTTTTTATTAAACTCAGTAATTAAAACCTCTGAATTATTAATCGAAAAATTGATTTTTGACCATGTTTGTCATTCATTTCCCCAATTTGGTATCATTTTCCTTTTTTCTTTCGTTTAGATCACGTTACACGTGGCGTGCATTCATGCATTCATCAATCCGACTCTCTTCATGGTTCTTCACAGAGGTCTTCGTCAAGCCGTGCTCGATATATGTTGCGGAGCTTGTAATTTCGGTATCGAATGGTTATTGGGAATTCATTCGCCTCGATGCGACACAAGTCCATCGCACACGACGACATTTCTTCCGCCGCCTCCACCTCATCCGAACGTATACAAATCTCCATCCATTAACAAACAACAATTATCATCCATGGTAAATCTACGATTATTTATGTGAGTAAATGTCGTAAAAAAATTTGTCGTATGAGTGTTGGCTAACCGGAGAAGAACGACTCATCATCAACACCAGAAAAAATATTCATTAAGTATTCTCACCAATAATTTTTTCACCATTTTTCATTACGAACGCGTTTTCGAATTATTAACAATAATAATAATAATAATAATAATTTAAAATTTCCTTTTATTTAAATTATCATCATGAAATTAAAAATTTATATAAAACTTTTTATCTTTTATCACTAAAAATTTAACAAATATTATTATTATTATTATTTTTTTTTTCGCAATGATAAGTTTTCAAATTACTTTTTTTAGGAAAAACCTTTTAGTAAAAAAAAAAAAAAGAAAAAAAAAGAAAAAGAAAATTATCAATGTATTTCATTTTACTTTTTTTTTTTTTTTCAAATTTTCACGTAAAAAACTTTTAGTAGAAGTTTTAAAAATTAAAATTAAAATTAATGATAAGAGTTAGAAAAAAAAAATTTATTCTGTGAGAAAAAGCTAAAAAAACCATTTAGAAGAACGGGAAGCGGTGAGGGGGACGGAGAGGGAGGGGAGGGGAAGGGATGTGGGAAGTTTTTTTTCAACAAACTCAACATTTTCAAATCCGCCATTTTTTCATTTATACCCGCCCACCAACAACACACATTTTAAAAAAAAATAACAAATTTTATTAGGGATGTTAATCAAAAACTGATCGCGATAAAAAATATTTAAAAAAAAAAAAAAAGAAAACCCCCCGATCGTAAAGGAAAATTTTCCAAAAGGAAAATATTAAAATTCAAACTTTTAACAATATTTGGAAAGTCTGTTATAAATTGTTTCATTTGCATTTTCCTTCCTTTTTTTTCTTTTTTTAAGAGGATGGGGGGAAAGAGAAAGAAAGAGAGAGAGAGAGAGAAATTTGCACACGCACCCCCCTTCCCCCCCTCGAGAGGGGCAAATTCGAAACCGTGTATAATAAAATCATCATCGCATTTTTCATTCTTTTTAACCTGTCAGGTGTAAAACGAAAAAATTAAGAACCCAAATCATTAAATATAATAACTCATTATTTAAAAAAAAAAAATGGCGTTGAACCGAAAAAGAGAAAAAATTAATGTTTTATAATTAAATGCAGTAAAGCATTAAAAAATTTAGTCTTTTTTCTAAAAAAAAAAAAAAATACTAAAAATTATACTAAAAATTATTCAAGTTTAAATTTATATTATTAATATCAGGGATTATAACGACGCGTTAAAAAAAAAAAGGGGGGAAGAAGGGGGGAAGAAAAAATTACTAAATTAATCCTTTAATTGATTGCTCTTTTTTTTTTTTTTTTTTTTTTTTTTTTTTATAAATAATTTTTAATGTTGGTATCCCTTCATGTATATTCCCTTAAATAAAAAAAAAAAAATTTATCCCTTTTATTTCACCGACATATATATAAATGACCCGCTGTTTTCTAATAAATTTCATTATCTAATAATATTAAAAATAAACCGTTAGTTATATTAAAAATTTATATTTTTACTATGAGTTTAATATAAAAATTAAATTGGAATGTAAAAAGAGCGAGTGCGTAATGTAATTAATTAATTAAAAACCGTTTTCGTATAATATCAAAAAAAAAAAAAAGGGTTAAAAAAATTTTCTTTTTTTTGTCCCCCCCTCTCGTGAGGAAAATAACACGCAAAAAAAAAATTCAAGTATTATGACAATTTATCAATCAATCAATCAATCCAGTCATTCGCAACACTTGAGTTTCTCTATCCAGAATAAAAAGAAAACCCTCCCACTGACAAAACCAGGTCCCACCCCCACCCCCTTACTCCTCCCCGGTGTGAGAATTTTTTTTTTTTTTTTTGGGCGACATTTTCTTTGATTTTTCCTTCACGTAATATTATATATATAAAAAAAAAAATTTTTTTTTTAAAGTAATTTTTTTTTTTTTTTTTTAAATGTAACAGGAAATACGGAAGCCGTTACATAAAATCAAGGTTCTAATACAAAACCTTTGGCGAGGTAAAACCTTTTTTCCTTTTAATTTTTCCGACAAAAATAAAAATAATAATAAATAAAAATTTTTTTTTTATAAAATTAATCACGCGCCATTTTGTTTTTTTTTTTAAATTAATCACGCGCCATTTTGTTTTTTTTTTTTTAAATTAATCAAGCGCCATTTTGTTTTTTTTTTTTTTTTAAATTAATCACGCGCCATTTTGTTTTTAATTGCATCACCCACGATAATAATAATAATAAAAACACGCTTATTTTTTCTAGATGTTTTCTTTTTTTTTTTTTTTTATTGTAAATAGTAAACAAAATTAAATTAACAGAAAACAAATAATATTAAAAAAATTTTCCGCGGAAAATTTTTCATGTGTAACCTAATTTATTTATACACAACATTTCCCGCAAAAAAAAAAAAAAAATTATTATTGCGAATAATGTAAATATTGCTAAATCTATGTGTTTTGTACGTTTATTATTATTATTATTTGCACAATTTTTTTTTCTATTTTTTCTAAAACGCATAATATAAAAATTTAATTTTTTCCAGGGAAACGAAAATATAATGATACAAAATACAAGATCGGAGTCGAAGGAAATGTTGCCGTCTGATTCGACGAAAACAGGATCCAAAACTCAAATATACGAAACCTACGATCCGAACGAACCTTGGGAAAACGAATGTCAACCTTGGTACGTAACATTACCATCACAACCAAATCAAAATTTGAGAAAAGACGAAGAAGAAAGAATAAATCCTAACGCGAAACCAATGGCGTACCCACCGGAAATGGAACTTCATTCTGAACTTTATTCAAGCGAGGGAAGCACGGAATAAAGAATCGCAAGGGAAATTCATCATCGCGTACATTAAAATTAAATTGTTTAAAAATAATGATAATGATAATTTTTCAATCTTGTGGAAAATGCCTGCCTCTTCTGATGTTCTTTCCCATCATCAGAAATAATAATAATCAATTAACTATTCGAATTATATACTTGATACGGTTAATGTCAATTATAAATTTAAAAATTATACACTTATATTTAAAAAAAAAAAAAAAAATTTGTTCATTTTTTACCCTTAAATCAAAGCCAACCTTAAGTGGGGGTTGTTTCCCTTCCCCCCCCCTTAAACCCTTTTACCCTCGGCAACAAAAGGTGTGTGTGTGTGTATGTGGTAAACATTTAATATTTTAACAAACGGCGGGGGGCGGGGGAAACTAATTTTGATTAAACTTATACAAAATTAATAATAATATTAAAATATAGGCATTGGTTTTCCTCCCTCTCATTTTGAAAAAAAACCCCCCCCTCCCCCCGTAATAATTCATAATTTTCTAAGTTTATACGTAACGTATATCGATCCCATCATTTTTACCATAATAATTTATTAAAATTTAATTTCAATGAAAACCAAATGTGGCTAATATTTAAATTCTCATATTTTTTTTGCAAAATAAGTGAAAAACAAATTTTTCCCGATTACCCGACCCGACGAGATACGAAAAGCGTTTTTAATTTTTCACTTATTGATTTCTAATTATAAATAATAATAATAATAACAATAAATTCCTACCTGTTCGAAGCCTCCTAAAATCTCGGTTGTATCCATTGCAGAATTACACGATATTATTCTTAAATTTTCACCTTTCAGGGCAGCCAACGTTCGAACGGCAGACGTTTTACCGGTACCCGACTCACCGATCTGTAAAAAAAAAAAAATTTTCAATCAAAATTATTTCCAAAAAAAAAAAAAAAAAAAAAATTGTGTGCACTTTAAATTAAAAAAAAAAAAAAAATTTATATCAGGTTCCACCGAGATTTGAACTCGGATCGCTGGATTCAAAGTCCAGAGTGCTAACCATTACACCATGGAACCACGCATTCAACTGACGCTTAAATACTCAGGATGTTGTTAACAATAATTTGTTTTTATTATTAATTTAAGATGTTTATTAAAAATTAATGTAACTCGAAATCGATAAAATGGAGCCTGTGTTAATTAGTTAAATGATTATCTGGTATCGTTTTATAAAATATTAAAAATGAAATAATACCCGACTTTTAGATAATAATAATAATAATAATAATAATAATAATAATAATAATAATAATAATAATAATAATAAAATGGCTTAAAAAATGATAAATTATTTCATCATTAATAGTAATATAAAATATGTCATAAATAAATTTAGTAAGGCTATTACGAATATTATCATGATTGTGGAAAACAATAATAATAATAATAGTTTTATGAAAAACATCAAGAAATATATAAACTATGTCAGATGTTAATCTTCGTAAATACATAAACGTTTGATAATTGTAAGAATTTTTTTTTTTTTAAAATAAAAATTTATTTAATACGTGCAAATCAATTACGTCATTAATAAGTAAAAATAAAAAAATAATAAATGATAAAATTGTTAATTTATCGACATCGGTTTACGACGATAAGCCAGAAAAAAAAAACAAAAAAATTATTTCATATATGAAATACAAATCACACAAATTAAACACAAAAATTAATTGGGTAAACAAAAAATAATTATGCGAATTTGCAATAAAAAAAAAATATTGATGATTAAACACAAATAAATTTATTATTTATAAATAAAATAAATAAATAACCTCCTCGTTCTGTTAAATATTCTACGTAAAAAAAAAGTAAAACGCTCAACACGGTTCCATGGTGTAATGGTTAGCACTCTGGACTTTGAATCCAGCGATCCGAGTTCAAATCTCGGTGGAACCTGAATTTAATTTTTTTTTTTTTTAAGTTAAAATTTTGTTTTAAATACGAGTCAAACACTTTTAAATAAAAAAAAACACCGCCTCTAAAGTCTCAACTAAAGTTATAACATTTGTAGAAAAAAAAAAAATTTCTTTAACCTGTAAGTTTAAAATTTAATTTAAATGTCAAACAATAAAAAGTCATTTTTCAAAAAAATAAATTAATGTGAAATTATTAAAAAACCATTAAAATATTGTCGTCTGAAACTTTGAAAAACCACACACATCTGTTTCTAACCCCCCCCCCCAAAAAAAAAAAAAAAGAAAAATCATTTTCCTAATTTTCTTAATATATGTTTTGGAAAGATTTCAAAAAACAATTGTTTAAATTAGTTGGGGTAATATATATATATCAATGCCCAAAATTCAAATTTTTCTTGCATGCTACTCGTTTTGAAAAAAACTTTTTAATATTTTGTCGTATTAAAATTAAATTAAAATCAACATGTGTTAAAATTGGGGGGAAAAAAAAAAAAATAAACACTCACCAAAATGGAAAGCCAATTCATGTTGACACTCTCACACAGGGAAGCCAAAATCGGATGTTGTTTTTCCAAAATCCTTAAATTTTTATATTTCTTTTTACCGCGATACGAAGAACAAATCCGTAAAATTTCTTTTACTTCTTTCTTTTCTTTTTTAATTTGGGAATCGAACGTGGAATTTACAAACATTTCAAAATCGTTTATGTCACCGTAAAAAAAAGAATTATTCACTTTCGAATAGGTATCACCGAAAACAATAACATCATTTAATATATAAACGGGATATTTCACAGCACTCAAATTATTTTCACCGAAAAAATTTTTAAAGAGTTCTCGTATCAAATTTCTATCTTTTTCACTTCGAAAACGGTTAATATACAATAAATTAACGTATTTAAATAATATCCTGGAAAATTCCGAATTTACTACGAATGAGGAAAAATTACCGTCGCAATTTTTATCTGAAAAAAAAAAAAACGACAATTAAAAGTAATGTATTAAATAAATGTCTAAAAACATATATATATATATATATTTCATAAATTACCCAAATTAAAATTTTTAGTTATTCCTTGAGCCCATCGAGTTATATCTCTAATATTTAATTCCCAAGGCCCGCCGGAAACTCCAATTTGTCCTTCAGAAATATTCGTACAAATTTCAGATGTGAATTTGATCATGAGAGATATTAAAGAATTCCCATTGATTTTAATCGAAGACAAAAAAGGAAAATTCCTTTCCAAAATAATTGTGTAATCCATTTCTGTCAAAGGTTCGATAAAAACCTAAAAAAATTCAAAAACAACAAAAATTAAATTTACTGAAAAACTAAAAATATCAGTTAAATGAGAAAATAATTACTTGAGTAAATCTATTCAGAAAACTTTTTGGCAATCCTCTACGATCTCCTCCTTCCTTAAAAGGATTTTGACACCCGAAAATTTTAGTATCGAGTGATACGTAAAAAGTTTTATTCAATTCGGGAATAAATATCGATCCCCGATGATCTAAAACGGCATTGAGACCTTCGAGCACGGATTGAGAAGCCAAATTTATCTGAAAAAAATAATTAATCATTTAAAAAAAAATTTAAATAAATAAACCGTTGAAAAATTAATTCGGTAAAAAAATACTTCATCCAGCAATATCCAATGTCCTTCTTTCAATGCGGTTAAAAACGGTCCATCTCTCCACGCAAATCGTCCCGCCGCTTCATTTTCTTCTGGTAAATCCGTTCCGAATAAATCTGATAGATCGGTTTGATCAGATAAATTTATTCTCACGAGTTTGTGTCCCGAGATTTTCGCTAAAGACAAAATTAAACTCGTTTTTCCTACGCCTGGGCTCCCTTCTAAAAGAATCGCTCGGTTCATTTTTAATCCTCTCAATATTCTTTGTGCATTTGAAAAAGTGGTCGGTGCATCAAATACAAAATCGTTGGACTCAATTTCCATCGTTCCTAAAAACGCATCGTGTCATACACATTTTTACAAAAAAAAATTTAAATTATTTTAAGTTTTAAGGTCATTTTTTTTTTTTTATACTTAATAAATTTTAAAAATTTACCTTTTGAAATATAAAACGGATGAATACCGACTTTATTTTTAGCTACTACAAATTTTTTACCATCGTTTATAGCTGAAAATACGTGCGTAACATCCTTCGACAAAATTTTACTAATTTTATCCATCAAGTAGTTAATACATTCTTCCCGAAAGCTTTTAACGAAATTATATTCGTAAACGATTCTGGATCCTGATCCGAGACCATCGAGAAATATCAAATGAACTCCATGTATTAGAGATTCGAACCATTTTAAATTAGATTGATTCATAAAATTAATCCACGTTATTACATCTCGTGTATTTAAAGTGACTTTTTTTCCGATTTCTGATTTTTGAAACCAAATTAAAAATTCCGTCATTAATTTACAAACAACTTCTTTCAAATCCGAACTTATTTTCAAATTATGTAACATTATTTGTAAGTAAGAATCAAATTTATCACAAGCAGTATCCGCCCAAATCTCTGTAAAACGATTTCTCAATGCAGGGGAAAGTTCTTTTTTCCCATAATCTCCTCCCGGATTCATTGTGCCAACGAATTGAAAATCGATTTCAGCTATAGTTTCGTAAATCTCATTTTCATTATCAATCAATCCGCCTCCTTTCTCAGCTAGTAAAATTGTTCTTTCAGGTTCTAAAAGTACATAAACAAATAATAATAATATTTCATTTATGTTTGATACGAATATACGTGATTTGCATACATAACAAAAAATTTTACCTAAAAGCGAATTAAGTCTTTCAAGGACGCTGTCGTCTGCTAAAGAAATTTCATCCGCTAAAAAAATCGAACCCGTGGTCATGGCTTGAATTAAAGGACCATCACACCATTCAAAAAGTTTACCCGAATTTCTGTAATTTTGAAAAAAAAAAATTTTAACTTAAAATTAAAAAAAGTAAAACTTTCTTAGTACTTAAAAAAAAAAAAAAAAAAACGGGGTACCTAGTTTCATCTCGAACGGGTCTTAAACCTCCCAAAAAATCAGCACTTTCTGAATGCATATGACAATTCACTGAATACAATTGCTGATTTCGAATTTTTGCTAAAAGTTGAACAATGGTAGTTTTCCCACATCCCGTTTCTCCAACTATTAATACAGGTTCCGAAAATTCAAGGGCTTTGCTAACTAAAACAGCCAACCTGTATATATATAAAAAACTAAAAAATGATACGAATGATAAAAATAAACGGTTTCATTACACATTCTAATAATAAAAATAACATTCATTTACCTTCGCAAGCTGTAAGTCCAAACAATGTGAGAAAATTCTTCGTTAGCAGAAGATTCATTAATTAATTTTTCTAAAATACTTTTACTGACAGTTGACGTGTCCTCGTGTAAAGAAAATAAATTTTCTGGAATCGGTTTTCTTTTAAAATGTTTAGCTATCACTTCTTCGATGACTTTACTTTCTTCTTCGAGTCTAACTCTTCCCCCCAACAGAATGTAACCTATTTAATGACAAATAAATTGATTTCGTAGACATGCCACAGTGCAAATTAAAAAAAAAATTAAAATACGTTTACTGATCAAAAAAACACAGAATACCTTCATCGACGATATGTTGCTCCCAATCGTAATGTTTTAAATTAATATTTGCTTTTTTGTATCTTTCACCCCAGCGAAATAAATCTCTGAGAGTTATGTATCCGAATTTCCCGACAAATATATCGCTTCCCCTTCTTCTAACTTGTAATTCTGACATAACACTTACCATTTTCTTACTATAAGCTAAAACGAAATTTCAAAATTATTTTTTTTTTTTTTTTTTTATTTTCCCCATACATACATCAATTTACCTAAATAAAAAAAAAAGTTACAACGTACTTATAGGCAATTTACAGCGTTTTTCCAAAATGGTAACGAGTTCATCGTGAGGAATTTGATTAAATTGTAACTCGATAAAACGATTTCGAAAAGCTCGAGATAACTCTTTCCTACCACCGTATAAACCCGGCGGATTTTGAGTAGCGAAAAGCATAAATTTTTCATGAGCTTTTATTGTTTGTTGAGTTTCCGGTATAAATAATTCGCGGTTGTCATCTAAAACTCGGTTTAAAGCTTCCAATACTTCCGTCGGAGCCAAATTTAACTCGTCCAAAATCAACCAATGCCCTTTACGCATAGACTCACATAAAATACCTAAAAATATCATTTAATGAATTAAAATTATATGAAATTTTTTAACAGAAGTGTTATTTTTACGTACCCTCTTTAAAGACCAACTTTCCCTCCGAATTTGCAACATACGTTCCAATATATTCTTGAATATCTGTGTGTTCGTGATTATTCACCCTTGAACATACATTTCCAGTACACTTGCTTAAGTAATGAATCAAAGATGTTTTACCGACGCTTGTATCACCTTCTAATAAAACAGGAATTCCAGATCCAAACGAAACAATTTTAATTAAATCTCTCAAGTGTCTTCGAACCGTAGGAGTTAAAATATACTACAATAAAATTTTTATTAATTAGAGGTATTTCTTTTGATAAAAAAAAAAAAAATTAAACTTACGTCATCGGGCACGGTAGGTTCTACGTTTCCCACCGGTAACCAAAATCCTTCTAAATTTACAAAATTCCCCGTTAAAGGTTTTGGAATGGGTCGATTTAAGACAATCTTTATATCGGAATCAGTCACCGTTTTCTTAATTAAATCTTCAACTAATTTGTAAGACTTATTATCCAGTTGTGTTAGAAAAGAAACGCTTAAACTTTCGTAAAGGCTTCTAGCAAAATTACCACAAGGATTTTTAGCCGTAATGGTAAGCGCTCTACAAAGATTTCTTAAACTGAAAACAAAAAAGGAAAAAGCCTTATTAAAATTTTACATTTCCAATCAATTATTTATAAACTGTAATTTATACCTGTAATGTGGTTTTTTCCCATTTCCATCCAAAAGTACATTTTTTAAACTCGTTTTTATTTTTAAATAAAATTTTACAATTTTTTGCAATTGGCTAGAACTTTGATTTAATTCGTGTAAATATGTCTCAACCAAAGGAAGTAAATTATTTTCATCCTCCAATTCATCAATAAATATTTCTGTAAATCTAGAAAATTAAAACCAATCAATTAATTAAAAATTTACATTTTGATTTTAACGTATAATTTAAATAAAAAAATTATACCTGTGTTCTTACCTGTTTCTAAGTCCTACTGGAAGTTGTTTTTTACCAACGTCAGTAGCGGGATTCATGGCAGCAAATAACCTAAATTTTGAATCCCTAAATATAGGTTGGTTATCTCCCTTTTCTAAAAGTGATATCGATTCACGACTATTTTCCAAAAGACCACTTAAACTATCTAATGTTTCACTGTTGGCCAAATTAATTTCATCCAACAACACCCAATATCCTGATAAATAGAAATTTATACATTATTTTATACAATTACCTTCAAGTATAAAAATTTCTTGAATTTTACAACTTATTGTTTCACATGTGCACGTAATAGACATATTTATCACGATAAAGAATCAATTATTTGTATCCGTGATATAACACATAAGCAATTAAACGTTTAAAAAAACTAAACATTCAAGATAATGATAATTAATATAATACATTTTAAAAACAAACCTTTTTTTATGGCTGTTATAAGGCTCCCTTCGATAAAAGAAAAAATTAAGCTTTTATTACACACTTCTTTTTGTTTATAATATTTTTCAATATCCTTTTCTAATTCTGTCCATTTCTCTAACCGTATTTCCCATTTCTTTGTTTCTTTTTTGGGTAGTACATTTTGCCCACCTAAAATATTTTTTTATTATAAATTTAAAAAAAATTATTTACCACTTTAAGTAAATGCACAAAAACTTTACTTTCAGCTTTTTTCAATCGACTTTTAATTTGATTCAATGCTTTTCTTTGAACGTGAATTATAAAATCAAATAAAACATTCCAATTTTCTTTCTTTATAAGCCTTGTAAATTTATTTAGACATTCGACATTTTTTTTCACTTCGAAAAGATCTCTGAATAAAATTTCAAATTTTTCTAAAAAGGGTTTGATGACCCACTTAAAAGAAACTGGTTTGAATCTGTAACATATTTAAATGAAATGTTAGTATAATACAGTAATCTTAATAAAAAATATATTTAACTTACCCTCCGAGTAAATCAGCTGTATCACTTTGCTGATTCATATTGATGACTATTAAATTTCTTCCCAACGTTTTAGCTACATATTGCAAAACAGTAGTTTTTCCGCAACCTGTCTCACCAACCATTAAAACAGGTTCATTATTATCTAAGCAACAACAAATTTTTTCAATTAAACAACAAGCTTGAGTAGTGAGTGAAAAAACTCCTAATTGCATCCTGAAATAAATAGTTACATTGATAAACTGTTATAAATTTTACATGATTCAAATATATAGTAATTTAAAAATTATTATTACTTTTTAACAATGACAATACTATCACTTCTTCTTTGCAAAATAACTCTGCCCGCAATAAATTTTTTATCTGATGCTACAATTGTTGGTTTATATTGATCCGCGATGAAATTTACTCTGTTTTTTACTATACCCAAAGTTATTCCAATTTGTTGTGCAAAGGAAAACCGAGTACCTGGAAAAAAATTTTTTTATATAATTTAGGCAATTAAGTAAAAAAAATTATTAATTTATTAATTATTTTATTTTAACTTACTTTTCTCCATAAAACCACAAAATAAATCAACAGCATCCTGAAAGACTTTTTGAGCACTTTCAGGACAACCATTTTTAAAATAGGAATTGCATCGTTCGCACCATTTAAAAATATCTCTGACAGTTGGAATTCTTGAACTTTGTTGACCCGATGTGTATTCCAAATCTAACACTGACACCATTTTCTGAGCTATACATGATAATTTAGGATATTTTTCACAAATTATATCTACAATTTCAAAACTGGGTAAAGGATCCAAACAAATTTTTATCCAGTTCTTTAAAATTTTACATTTCACTCCAGACGAAGATTCATTTCTTACAGTCCTGAAAGTAAGAAAATAAAATTTTTGTTACTAAAATTTCTAATATAAAAATTTTAAAGAAAACATTAATATTAAATAAATAGCTTTTCAATAGATAAATTGCTGTTAAGTAAAATTTAAAAAACAGCAATAAATATTTTTTTTTAGTAATGGAATGTGGTAAATATGATGGTAACATACCTTTGAGTAGCAAAAAGTTGAAACTGACTGTGTGGAATAATGTTATCACAAAAGCCTGGAACACTTAATGAATGAGTTTTGACCAGATTTTCTACAACTGTGACTAAATCTGGACTTGTACAATCAATGTCTTCTAACAACAACCAGTGACCCTCAATAACTGCCTAAAAAAAAAGAAATATTGAAATTATTTTATTTTAATTGAATGAGATAATAATATAGATTAAACACGATTAACATAAAATAGCTTGAATTTTTCGAGAAAAAGAAAAAAAGAAGTAACAGTAGAAAAGTGGTCTGAAATATATATTTTAGTTTCTATTTTGAAAATTTAAGTTATGACTGTTATAATAAATTTAGAAAATGTGAAACACCAATCGCTAAAAATAATAAAATGAATAGCAAAAAAGATAAACTAACTTGAGTCAAGATCCCAGGTTTCCATATAAATTGACCTGGAATTTCAGTACACTGATAACCCCCCAGTAATATTCTTGAATCTGTTTGCTCTCCAAGCTGAACTTTTAAAAATAATGAATTTTTTTTATTAGATGAATCATTACTGCAACAAAAAATTTTATGTCCTGTTGCATAAGCCAAATATTCAACGGTTGAAGTTTTTCCAGAACCAACAGGGCCTTGTAAGAGTACAGGACTTTTACTAGATACTGCAAGTGCCAATTTTTGAAGATTAAAATATGATGAACTGTCCTTCTTGTAAATAAATTTAACGTCATTCTAAAAAAGTAAATTATTAATTTTAGTAAAAAAAAAAATAAAATAAAATTATGGGCTATGAATAATTAAGTTACCTCATCCTTCACCTCGTGTGCATTAAAATTAAACGGAAGACGAATATTGGCTATTTCAATTTCTGAATTAATTTCCCCATCCATAATTAATAAAGATTAAATAGAACGAAAAAGTAAAAAAATCATTATTTCTTCAAAAATTGAAATAAGTTTCGTGAAAAAGATAAAAAGACAGCTTTAACGACCATTGTGAAAAAGGTGAATATTTTACATTGGAATATGACCGGTAATATATATATTTTTTAATTCGTTTATTTAAAAAAAAAACGTAAAAATTAACAATCGTTTAAAAAATAAAATTTTTATTCTAATAAAAATAAAGATTATAATTATTGATACTGAAAACAAAATTAAACTTGTGTCAAATTAAATAACTTGTGAAATAATTTCGTTTAAAAATTTACTTATGCACGTGGGAATTACTTTTTACGTGGCACCAGAATTATTTTTCCCGCAAACAATATATTATTTACCATTAAATAAAAAATAAAATCAATTTTAAAAAATAATATCTCTTGTAGAATAAAATATACGATGACATTTTTCCATTCGATTTAAATCATTTGATGCTTTATTTTTCATCCATTAATTATTTTTACGAACCCAAATAAATACGGTTAAAAAATGAAAACAAAAAATTTCGTTTAATTTGCTTAAATGATAACAATCTTTGACTAATAAAATGTCGTGGAAAAATAATTTATTACCATTAAAGCTAATATTTAATTTTAGTTTAAAATTTTAAAAAAAAAAAAATCGGCAAATTAAAGCTCTGAGTTAAATGAAATGAGGCATTATTTAGAGAAAAAAAAATTCTAATCAGCTTTCATTCTCTTTTTTAACCCACAAAAAAATTTTTATTTGTCAAAGTTTTATTTTTTTATCTTACTGAAATTAATACAATTTAATAATAATAATAAAACTACGCCATGTTAACGTTTAAACGAATCCCAAAAATTAAACATGAATAAAGTTAAAAAGAGATAATTTTATTCCTTAATGAAAACTTACAGGAATCGAACCTGAAATTGCATGATTGTTTAAATGTCAATAGGTTTTAAAATGGAAAAGAATTAATAAAATGTAGAGAAATAAAAATCAGGTAGACTGATATTTAACACTTATTATTCACGATGGTGCTATTTAATTTAATCTTAACAAACAAATTTTACGATCTTTATTAAATAACGCATAATATTTAAATTGTAAAATCAGTTTAGAACTTACTAAATTAATTACACACTAGTAAAGTATGTAAAAACCTATTTTTTAGTTTTTAGTCAGCACTCAAATATTACTAATTAGTCATTAATGTAAAAATTTCCTGCCCGGGATAAATGAGACAGATTTTCCATCAATAATTTTTTAATCAGAGATTATTAAGGGATTAATCTTGGGATTAAGGAAAGATGGCAAACAATAGTCGTTAAGAAAACATTAAATCAACTTATCATCATCAAAAAAAATTTTTTTTTTTTTTTATAAGTTATAACTTATATTATTTATAAGTTTTCTAAAAAAAAATTAAAAACTTTATTATTGAGGTTAAAAAAAAAAAAAAAAAAATTTTTTTTTTTTTTACGATCGGTGGTGGTGTCTAATGTCATGACGTAAACAAGATTAACTTAATATGTAACTAAAAGCTGGATCAATTTAGTAATTTTTTGTGTACCGTGTATTGAGCATTCGTTTTTATTAAAAAATATTATTAGTATTACTAAAATAGTAATAAATTTAAAACTAACACCTATTTTTGCTATTTTGTGAGTTTTTAACAATTTTATTTAAATAACGTTTGAAATTTTTTTTCTTTTAGTCTGCGTTAGAAGAAGAGTAAGAAAAAAGTTAGTCTAACACAATTTTTTTTTAGTTAAGTTTTTTTTTTTTTTTCAACTATTACTTAACTTGAATAATTTAAAAACATTAATCTGGTTTTTTTTTTTTACCCTACTTTATTTTTAGTTTAGTTTTTTTTTTTTATAACCAATAATAAAAACCCTTGAAAAATTAGTTTGTAAAAAAAAAAAAAACCATGTTTTAACCATATGTATTTTTATTTTTATTTTTTTTTTTTTTTTAGTTTTATTTCTATTTTAAGAAACATTAAATTAGTTTAAACCCCCCCCACTTGTTTTTTTTATTTTTTTTTGTATACTAAAAAAAAAAAAGGAGAAAATAATAATAATAATATTAAAATCAGACGTGACTGTTGAATGTTTTTGTATTTAAAAAATCGCGCAATTCAATCGATGGATTTTTTTTTTTTTTTTTACATGTGGTTTCTGTTTGACTTAATTTATTAATAGAATGTCCGCGGCAACCTAAAAAAAAAAAAAATTAGTAACAAACAACACAAAAAACTAAAAAAAAAAAAAAATTATTTTTATTAAATCGTATTTAGTTAAAGGTTTATATATTTATGTAAAAAAAAAATTTATTTATTTAAAAGGAAACGTAGAACGTACCTTAACGTGTCACTTAAGATTTTTATTTTATTTAATTGTGATTATTTTTTTTTTTTTAGTTATTATTTAAAAACAATAATAATAATAATATAAGAAGAACGTTTGGATAAATAACAACAAATTAAATAAATTAATTATTATTATGTTTTAAAGTGGATTCATCAAAAAAAAAATTATTTATTTTACTACTACGATTGTATAAAAGGTAAATAAATTTTTTACATTTTAAGGTATTTTAAGGTATTTTATTAAAAAATTGATTATTAATTCGTAAAAGACCTTGATGAGGAATATTGTGTGGTTGCCAAAAAAAATTTGTTTTTGAATGAATTGCAAAAAAAAAATTTCTTTTATTTATTTTAAAAGTTTATCTCAAAAGAAAAAAATTGCAACAAAACTCATAAAATTATTATTATTATTATTATAATTAAAATTAATTGATCATTAATATAATTAGGTTAATTATTATAATAATATAAATTATAAAAGATTTAATAAAAACCACCACACCACTACCTAGTTAATATGCCTTATTAAAAATGTTTTTTTTTTAATAATAATATTTTATGATTAATAAAAAAATTTTCCACGGGAAAACTTGTTTGTTTTTCTTTAAATTTTCTTAATTTAATTGATTTAACAACGAATCACGTCAATAATAATAATAATAATAATTTGACATTTTTTTTTATATATAGAAAGAAAACAAACGTGGTTAGTTTAAAAAATATATTTTTGAGTTTGCCATTATAGTGTCAATAAAATAAATTAAATTATTAATAATTTAACTAATAATTTATTTTAATAACTTTTATGACGACGTAAAGTATCGATAATAATAATAATAATAATAATAACAAGTGAGAAAAAATATAATACCAAAAATTTATTTATTTTTATTTAGAAATTTTTTGGCAAGTTGCAATTTTTTTTTTTTTTTTGTTTTAAAAAAATTTTTTTTTTTTTTTTTTAAATAAGCTAAAAAATAAATAAAGTGTGTCAAGTTATTTTAAAGCCGGAAGAAATAAAATTTATATAAATAATAATAATAATAATAATAATAATAATAATAATAATAATAATAATAATAATAATAATAATACCTAAATACATGCATAATGTTTGAGTTGATAATGATGATATTTAAAATAATAATTTTTCAAAACGAATCCATTGATTTTTTTTTTTCTTTTTTTTTTTTTTAGTTTTTTGTTGGGGGGATGTGAGAGAAAGGGGGGGTTTTTTCAAGTTTAAATATATATGTATGAGATTTTTCATTTGTTTTATTTTTAAAATAACCAACAATAAAAACCATTTGATTGTTAAAAAACGATTCAAAAAAAAATAATAATAATATTCATAAAATAGCAATTTTCTTATTAACAAGTAACCCATTTTGAAACAATTTCGGTTTACGTTCAATTATTAAATAATAATAATACTACTACAACTCGTTGTCTTATTATTATTATTATTATTATTTAAATAATAAATATAAAAATTATTTTTTTAACTTATTTTATAAATGATTAGTAAAAAATAAAAATTTTTTTTTCGTATTTCCCCGGCAAAATGTGTGCGAAGCTTATACGCAGGTTTGATTTTTTTTTTTTTTTTGAAATTTTCTTTTCATTTTTTTTTTCTCTCTCTAAAAGCTATGAATCATTATCATTATTTTTTATAAAAAAAAGAAATAATATACATTTTATTTATTTTAACTTCCGGTTATATTAATTTAACGGAATAATTTAACTCATTAATGTGTAAGTAATTTTAATTTTTAATTTTTTTCTTCCTTTCTTTCTTTTCAATATGACAAGAAATTTTAACCTGATTTGGTTTGATTGATGTTTAGCTGACGTTTTAAAACCGCCTATTATTATTATTATTATTATTATTATTATTATTTTTGGTTAGTTAACATTAGCAAACGTAAAATAACAATTATTTCCGGTATTGTATTTGTTTTAAATGGAAAAATGTATGAGTCGTATCAACAGGAGGACCAGGAACATTATCATTTATAAAAATATTTATTCATTTATAGATAATAATAATAATAATATATCAAAATGGATGGCATACCGAGTTCTCCAACGAAATCATCTCCCGACGGTTTGGAAATGTCATCTGATTCCAATTTAGAAATCGAAGTTTCTGAACAAAGTTTTATATTGCAATTAATAAAAGATAATTTACTTTTGGTTGTGACGTTAACAGGAGTCGTTTGTGGTACAATATCTGGTAAAGTATATAAAATTTATTATGTTTACCTGATACCAAAAAAAAATTTATAACCTTCTCTTGGCTTATAATCAAAAAAAGTAAATTAACCTTGAAATGAGAAGAAGAAGAAGAATCTATGATAACTGACCATGGTTTATACTTTTAGGATTAATATTAAGAAATTATCAACCGTCAGAAGATAGCATACTTATAATATCATATCCGGGAGAAATATTTATGAGAATATTAAAATTAATTATTTTACCATTGGTTGTTTCCAGTCTTATTTCCTGTAAGTTAAAATTTTAAATTATTATCACACTTTAAACCTAATTAATTAATAAAAATTGAATTTTTAGGTTCAGCTAGTTTAAATGCAAAACTAAATGGAAAAATAGCTGTTAAAACTTTGTCTTATTTTGTATTGACATCATTTTTTAATTCATGTTTGGGCATCATATTGGCTTTGCTCATACATCCAGGAAATCAAGAATCTAAAACAACATTAGAATTAGAAAAAGATAAAAAAATTATCAACGTTTTAGATAATTTTTTAGATATAGGAAGGTCTGTCTATATATACATATTTATTTATTTTTTATTTTCAAATTGGTCAAGTTTAAATAAAAATTTATTTATTAAAATGTTTTACTAACTATAAGAACAAAAAGTTTTCAACTAAAAATAATTATTAAAAAAAAAAAAAAAAGAAGAAATTAAAAGTTATTAAGATTATTTAAATTAAGTTGGTCAATATGGATATTAATTACCATTCCCACTTTCTATTTATTTATTAATTAAAAAAATTATTAATGATCAATTTATAGTTTTAAAATAATGATAATAGAAAGAGATTTTTATATTGCGTATAAGAAAATTACACAAACATATTTAAATTAAGATAAAATTGAAATTATTTATAATTATTAACTCTTTAATTAATTAATTAATTAATTAATAACTAATATTAATAATAAAAATTGAGAAATTGGATCGTGGGAGTGAGATTGAACTGATTTAATCATTTTTTTTTAGGAATATGTTTCCCGACAACATCTTTCAAGCATTTTTTCAACAGGTATTAAAATATTATTGCACAGTATTTTAATATTTATATTTATAGGTCTTTTTATAAAAAAAAAAAAAAAAAAACCTCCTGAAAATTATGAAATTTTTTTTTTTCTTTTTTTTTTTTCTATCAACCCCTCAAATTTAGTTTTTTTTTTTTTTTTTTTTCTCTTGGTCTTTTACAAAAATAACTTATTATAAATAATTTTTTACAATGGTGACAAGTGGTATTTAATAAATATAATTATATAAAAATAAATAAAAAAATATAATCTAATAAATAAAATTAATTTTCAGACCCATACAGTTTACGTTCCGGTAAAACCGTTAAATAAAAATGATACTTTAAATAATAATACGGATTTTGATAATACAAATTCAGAATCATCATTTAAAATGATGAGAACTTTACATCCAAGGTAGGTAGTAAATAAATTTTTCTCATATATTCCTTGATATTGTACATATTATTATTATTATTATTTGTATTTTAAGAGATGGAAGCAATAATATTGGAATTATAATATCGTGTTTAGTTTTTGGTACGGTTTTGGGTACGATACAACCATCAACCGGTGAACCTGTTATTAATTTTTTTCGTTGTATTTATGAAGTTGTTATGAAAATAATGTCTGGAATTATGTGGTAAGTTATTTATGATTTTCCTTTTTTGTCTCATCAGTAATAGTATTGTGTTATTATTTTTGTCTGTTGAAATTATAGGTTGACACCAATTGGAATATGCAGCGTGATTTGTGGGAAAATATTATCAGTTAACGATTTAGGCATTGTCATTGCTCAATTAGGTTGGTTTGTGTTCACAGTCGTGATAGGTCTCATTATTTATCAATTTATTGCTCTGCAACTGCTTTATTTTATTATAATTAGAAGAAATCCTTTCAAGTTTTATTGGGATCTTGCTCCAGCAATGTTAACAGCTTTTGCCACGGCTTCAACGTAATTTAAATACAAAAAAAAGTAAATATAAAAGGTTTTTATCGATAGAAAATAATTACAATTTTTTTTTTGGTGAAAATTATTTCAGGGCCGCTGCTTTACCCGTAACTTTTCAATGCATGGATGAAAAATTAAAAATTGATCAGAGAATATCAAGATTTATATTACCCATCGGTTGCTCAATAAATATGGATGGTACGGCACTTTTTTTAAGCAGTGCCACAATATTTATATCACAATTAAATTCAATGACTTTAAGTGCTAGTGAAATAATTACAGTGAGGTATGAGGTACACCTGAATTCGAAAAATTTATTAATTAAATTAATTTAAAAAAAAATTTTTTTTTATAGTTTGGTATCAACTGCAGCAAGTATGTCTTCTGCTAGCGTTCCAAGTGCTGCTCTTGTACTCATGCTAATGATGTTGACTTCAATCGGTTGTCCCGTTGAAGATGTATCCCTATTATTTGCCGTCGATTGGCTAGTGTGAGTAATTAAAAAAAAATATTTAAACAATTTAAAATTGTACCTGATAATGTTCTGACACCAAAATAATTAAATAAATTAATAGGGATCGATGTAGAACGGTAAATAACATGCTGGGAGATTGTTATGCATCAGCCATAATAGAACATTATTCGAGAGATGAACTGACGGCCGGTGAAAGATTACCACTTCATCAAGAAGTTTGTATTTACAATTTATATTATTTATATTATAAATATTATAAAATATTAATAATAATAATAATAATAATAATAATAATGAATTTTATTTTTATTAGAAAGGAGACGAAAGAAGCAATAAAAAAAAATATACAAATAATGGATCAATTATGTTAGAAATACCCGATGGGATATCCAATAGTACATTCTGCACATAAGAATACGTCGTAATTAATAATAATAATAATAATAATAATTAGGAAAATAATAATAATAATAATAATAGTAATAAAAACAGGATAGAAATTATTTTTACTTATATATATATTTTTATTTTTCAAAAGATAAATAATAATTTTTAAGGGGGAAAAAAAAGTCGTTGTAATATTTTATTCGTCCTGTGATATTTCATATTAATAATAATAATAATAATAATAATAATAATTTTGTATTTAATATATATATGTATCGAGTAAGAAATATAAAAAAAAATAAAAAAAAAACCAAAATTATTTTATGATACTATAACTTATAAAATATTAATAAATTTTCTCTTATTTCCCCCCAACCCCTCCCCCCCGGGTAATTGATAGTAGTATTATTATTATTTATTTATTGACGTAATCATTTTATTAAAAAGTAAATAAATAAATATTTACATGATGTAATTGTACACACACACACATTATTAATTATTTTTATAAAAAAAATTATTCGATGAGACAATAATAATAAATAAATAAATGTGAAATTATTTTTTTAATTTTTTTTTAACAGAGAGAAAAAGCATAAATGTTTTCATATTATTATTATTATTATTATTATTATTATTATTATTATTATTATTATTTTAAATAAAAAATATAAATTTGATGATTTTAATTATAATAAATTAATAAAAAAATTATTAATTAATTAATTAAAAATAATACAAAGGATACCCGTTCGTTTTTTTTTGGTTTACAAATTTTTTCTGTTTTTTTTTTTTCGTACGGTAATAATAATAATAATAAATAAAATAGAACGTTTACTATGTGATTTTTTAATATCTGTGTAAAGTTCATGACCTTTTTTCATTGAACCGTCTCTTTTGATAAAAAAAAAAAAAAAAAAAAAGAAAAAAAGAAAATTTACAAAACCTTCATCGTAACAAATGATTTGTCACACAGTAACACAATTTCATTTTTTTTTTTTTTCCTTTTTATTGTTTTAATTTTAAAATTTTTCATTTTTCTTACTCGAATGAAATAAATAAATCCAATAATAATAATAATAATAATAATAATAATTAAATTTTTAAAAAAAACTGACCTCTAAAAAATTATAATAAAGAAACTTTGAATGGGTCATACTCATTGATGATAATTTTATAATTTAATTTTTTTTATATATTTTATCGATTATTTATTAAAATAATAATAATAATAATAATAATGAATAAATAAATGTTGTTATATAACACTTAACGGGAGATCTTAGAACTCGAAGGAAAAAAAAAAAAAAAAAAATTGTAATAAATGAGTATTAGTAGGTCGATTAAAAGAAAAACGTTTGAAAATTAGGGGGGAAAATTAAAAAAAAAAAAATTTCTTATTTGTGATTTAAAAAGTGGCAAATAATGGCAAATATATAAACATTGTTAAACAAAATTTCATTTAGACAAAAAAAAAAAAAAAAAAATACTCTTGTACAAATATTTAAGTGCCATTAATTATTACGTTTTGACTTTAAAGGTCGATTAGAAAAACATAGAACGCCGCGAAAGCTTTTACGTACCTGAATTTTAAAAAAAATTTTTTTCTTTCGAATTTGTTCTTATAATAATAATAATAATAATTTATATAAATAAATAAATGGCGGAAAAAATAGAAAAAAAAAGGGATCATGGAAATGCGTTACCACAACACGTTTTGGCATTCATTGGTGAGTTATCGTTAACAATACCTTAAAAAAAAAAACTTTTCTTTTTTTTTTAAATTTTTGGAATTTTTTTTATTTATTTATAATTAAATTATTGCAAAATCGATATCCCAAATCGATACGAAATCAATTTTAAATGCAAAAAAGAAAAAAAAAAACTGGAAAATAAAATTTTTACTTTTTTTTTTGGTATTTAAATAAAATTTTTTGTCTAATTAATTATTATTATTATTATTTTAAATTCAGTCAATTAAATTAAATAAAAAAATTTTTTTTTTGTAAAAAACAAATGACGAGAAATTACAAACCGAATTTTTTTTAAAGATTATTCACGTTTTTGTTTTTCTAACAACGAAGTTAAAATGTTTTCTGATTTGTTTTTAACGCAAAATTTCAAAAAAAAGAAAAAGTTTAGAAGTTTTTCATACAAAATGCTTGTTAATTTATAATCGCAAAAAAGATATTTTTAAATTATTACTCGTTATCGACACAATTACTACCATTCCACCATCACCACCACCACCGCCGCCATCTTTATCATCGTTGTAACGGTTTTATAAAAATCGCCATTAAAAAAAAAAATTATCATCTTACTTGTTTTGATTTTGTTCTTGTTTCTTTTTTTTTTTTTTTTGTAATTATTTCACGAAAAATTTTGTTAAATTTAATTTTAAAGTCATAATTTACAAATATCACCCAATATCAACAAACTGATTAAACACACTAATATCGAAATGCAGTGATACCAACTTAAAAAAAAATGCCACGATTGGAGCGGGTTTTTCAAATTATATAGTTTGTGTATGTTTTTATTAAATGGTAAAAGAATGTGAAATTTTGAACTTACCTTTCTTTTCTTTTTGTGAACCAACCTTAAGAGGAATTTTTCTGTCGACATGTTTATTCTTAATCAGAATCAGATGGTGTCATTCTTTGAAAAATTTCTGTTACATCTGTAAATAAAATAAATATTTTCTTATTTAGATAATGAGGTAAGTTATCAATTGTTTTTTTTCTTTTTTTTTTTTTAGTGAATATGGTGTCATTTACTTACGGTACAACAACTGGATGGTTAGCTCCAATACAACCACTTTTGCAAGCTAATTATACTGGAACTAATGAAACGTCACCCCTTGGCAAGGGTGCTCCTGGATTAACATCAGAAGATATTTCCTGGTTAGGAGGATACTATTGCATTGCTGGAATAATTGCAACTCCCCTTTATGGATTTTTAGCCAAAACGATAGGAAGGAAAATGACGGCTTTATTAGCTGGAGTACCATTTATAATAACTTACGTTTTGATACTTCTTGCTACGAATCCTGCAATGCTTTTTGTTGGAAGATTTTTTGCCGGTTTGGGTGCTGGAGGAGTTTCTGTTATATCACCCATGTATATTGGAGAAACGGCTGAAATAAATAACAGAGGCGTTCTCGGTTCTTATTTTAATCTTTTTATTTGTGTTGGTATTTTATCTTCGTACATAGTCGGCTCTTACACTTCATATTTAATTCTTGGACTCTACTGCTTGTTTTTTCCAATTTTATTCGTACTCATGTGGTTTTGGCTCCCGGAAACACCAATTTATTCCTTGATAAGAAACAGAACGGATGATGCTTTAAATGCTTTATTTAAATTAAGAGGAAATCATAGGGAATTAATAGAAGCCGAATTATCAGAACTTACATCCTCTCTCAAACAAAGGAATAGCGAACAGAAAAAGGTGTCGCTAATGGCTATGCTGTCCGAGCCGGAAACTAGAAAAGGATTTATTATTGGAGGCACTCTTATGACCATACAACAAATGAGCGGCGTATCTCCTATTTTGAATTACAGTGTCGTTATATTTCAAGCCAGTGGAAGTGATATATCTCCTCATTTGGCGGCTATAACCGTTGGAGCTTTACAAATTTTTGGAGCCGTAGCAGCAACGTTGACGATGGAACGAGTCGGAAGAAAACTCCTCTTGATGATTTCTAGTATAGGAATGGCAATTTCTTTAGGATTAATCGCAATTTTTTTTTACCTGAAAACAATCGATTACGACCCTGAATTTATGAAAGCTATCGGATGGTTACCAGTAACCAGTATGGCAACTTACGTGATAGTTTACGGTTTAGGATTCGGTCCAGTACCATTCGTTTTGGTCGGTGAAATTTTCAAAACAGAAGCTCGAAGTGCAGCAACATCATTTTCAACTTTTATGTTATGGTTCGAAGCATTCCTTCTTTTAAAATTTTACGGAAATTTAAGCGATGCTTTTGGAACTGAAGCTTGCTTCGGATTATTTGCTATTTGCAGTGCCTTGGGTGCCGTTTTCACTTATTTTTACGTACCGGAGACAAAAGGAAAATCACTTGAAACAATTTTATGGATGTTAGGAGGTGAAAAACCCAATAGCTATTCCGATGAAGGATCTCCCATTCCTTTAGTTAACCTAAACGATAAAAATCATATTGATCATCAAAAAGATGATGTAATAGAAAAACTATAATCAATACATATAGTTCTAACACTTTACAATTCAACTTTTGTAAATATTTTTACTAAATAAATTGTGCTTAAAAAAAAAATATGAAAATTGATAACACATCAAATGTTTTGATAAAACTGATGATCACATTTATGTGGAAAACCTATTTATTATAAATACATTTTCTTAACTTATTAAAATACTTTAAGAAAAAAAACATAAAGAAAAAGATTTTTAAAAAAATTTATTTTAAATATAGTAAATTTTAGGATTTATTTATTAATTAATTTTATAAGTCTTATTTATATTATGTTATTATTATAAAATGCAGTTTTCAATTGGTTTTTTTCTTTTTAAAAATAAATTTAATTGATAATATAAACCTTCAAAAAAAAAAAAAAAAGTATTAAATAACAATTTTAAAATATTTTGATTAATTGATCAATTTCATATTAAATAACTGCCAAAAATTTGTTCAAATTTATATAATTTTAAGTTATAATTTTATACGATTTAAAAAAAAAAAAAAAAACAAATTAAAATTATACATAAAAAATACAAATTATTAAATACATTATTTAAAATATACGTATAAACAAAAATGAAAATAAAAAAAAAAAAAACTTATTGATTGATTTAAATAATAATAATAATACATAAGCTAAATAAATTAAATTTTTTTACTATAATTAATATCATTTAAAAAAAATTTCTTTATTATTATATTATTATCATCATCTTAATAACTATAATAAATTGCATTTCATTCAATTTTACTATATATTAAAAATATATATATATATATAAATTAAAAATTGTGATATTTGTATGGGCATTTGGCACAAACAATAATAATATATGATACAAATAATTATAAAATAAATATTTTTTTTTCTTTTTATATTTTAAAATATGATTTTAAATTTTTTTTTTTTTTTTTTAATAAAAAATATAAATTAAAACAATACTTTTAAAACTGGATTTGAAATGGAAGACGATATTGTTTACTAATTTCTAATTATAAATAAATACTCTGATTTTTTTCAAATAAAAATAAAATGGCAGTAACTAATAAATCTAATGGGGAAAAAAAAATATGTAAAGTGTGAAAAAATTTTATTCGAAGCAAAATTCGTAATTAGGCGGAGGAGATGGAATGGGAGGAGGATCCTGTGGAATGTCTAAACCTTCGGCATCCAAAAGTCTCAATTTTATTTCCAATGAGAGAAGAGTATCCAAATCGTTTTCGGCTTCTTTACTCAACATTTTATTACCCAAAAGTGCATTTATTCCATCCGTCCAATAATCGAATACTTGTTCATCCGGTGCAACAAAATCCAAAGATGAAACTTCAACGGAATCCGAGAGCAATGAAAATGCAAGCGTATGAGTTGTTTTCCTTCCTCTACAAATGTTTACAAAAAAAAAAAAAAAAATATAATAACGGAAATAATTATTACAAATAAGGCATTCCTTTATCAAATTAAAATAAATTAATAAAAAATTTTTTTGCTCAGAGTCGTTTATTGAATATAATGTTATTTAATTTTATTTTCAAAACGAATAAAATTACTTAAATGATATTTATCAAATTTAAATGTGTAAAATTATAAAATAAAATAAATTAAATTAAATTTTTTTTTGTTATAATTAAAGATTATTTAATAAAATCATACCGAATATCCTTCATGTGAGGGCATTCCTTTCCAGTAACTAAAGACTTAATATCTATAACTGCTAATTTATTTGGAAGTTCTTCGAGTGCTGGATTATTTTTTTCATCACAATCTCCATAATGGAACACTTTATGATTTGGTGACAGTCGAACATACCAAAATTTATCTTTTATTCTCTGTAACATATTTAATGTAATAATTTTGCCATCATCATGATAAATTTGTACGATTCTTTTAATAATTAAAAATAAACAACATTTTACAATACTTTTGTAAAAATAAATGAAATATTTCAATTATAATTAATAGATGTAAAATAAAATTAAGAGTTAACAAAAATATACTTGAAATTTGAAGAGAAAGACTGGCAAATTTAAAGTGCAAAGAATCGTTTTTTTTAATAAAAAAAAATTTCATACCTGGCCTCTAGATGAATACTTTGTAAACCTTGTACCATCGACTAAAAATCCCAGTCTTTGTTTTTGAATCAAATCTATAATTTCTGGAGTTATTTTTTCCCTTAACTGAACAATGGGTCTTGCATGACTTTCCCATTCCTCTCGACTTGTTCTTTCTTGTTGCCATAAATTTGTTATTTCAGAATAGGTCAGCGTAGAGAGTTTAGCTTTGAATTTGTCCATTCCAAAAGGCTGAGAGGCTAATGCTCTAGTAATTTGTTCTCTAACTACACTAAATACCTGCGCAGAGAAAAAAATTAATATTTTGAAAAAGTATTTTAAAGCTAACAAATAAGGATCAATTTAAATAATAATAATATTTACTTTTACAAAATCTTCTGTACTTGCTCTCATCTCTTTCCAAGTTTTATTCAGCAAAACGATACAAATACAAAATAATTCTTCGAATAAATGATCATGAGTAAAAAACATTGGATGGTAATTTTGACCTTGTTCACTTGGTGGTTCTCCAATTCTCAATACTTCACACAACAGTTTAACTAATTCAACACTTGTTCTTCCAAAAGGACATTCATGTTCATCAGCTCTACAAGAATTTTCCAACACTACCTAAATACCAATATTTGATTAAATTACTTTTACCTTTAAATAATTTTATAAATTATAGGTACAATATTTACTTTGGTATAAGCATCAACATGATTTCTAGCAAAATAAACCATGCAGTCTAAAGCCAACATTCCCGGAGGAGTTTCTGTGAAATCTAAAGCAGGATTTATGTCAGATTTAAATCCTAGCTTTTTGTAATCTTTGGCAAAACCACCCATTTGTCTCAAGGTTGAAGTATCTCCTAATAAATTATTTCCATCCATATCAAAAGCAATTTTTCTTAATTCTTTAATCTTTTCAAGGGCATCAATATCATGTAAATCCATTTTAGTATTCATTCTTGATTCCAATTGAGCTAGAGTCAATGACTGCATAACATATAATTGATGAGCCATTTCAGCTCCGACCTAAATATAAAAATCAAATTATAATTATGTAACAACTGAATTTCAAGTTTCATTTTTACTACTGATGTATATTCTTTTTAATTACCTGATTATTTGACTGTATAATATTAGTAAGAATAAGATTTCTAACTTGTTTAGATGTGAGAGTACCAGAAATAACCTTTCTCTTTGCAGCATCAGCTTTCAAAAAAAGAGCATTAATTAATGCTATAGCATTTTGTTGTATAACCAAATGCTGACTTTGTAAATGCATCACTAAATTTGGAACTGTCACTTCCTTTTCGACTAATCCATACTTAGCAGAACTGTTAAGCACAATACTTTCCAAAATAGAAAGAGAAGATTGAACGACTTTGAAATCCTGAGCTTCAGATTGATTGTTAACATAACTAGCAATTGTATTTATAAAAGGAATTTCTAATACATCCCACGACACAATTCCATGATCCATAAGCTCGACAAAGCTGATTAAAGAATAAGCCAAGACATTACCTTTGCATTTTCCTCCTTCAACAAGAGAAATGACCAAAGCCAATCCCTGTTTATTAATAAATTCTAAAGCAAAAGTAATGTCTGTGCTTAGTGAAGATAACTTTTGTAAAGCTGAAGTTTTGTCTTCAGTGTTTGTCCCATTCAATTTTGTCAAAATATCGTGTGCAGTTTTAGAAGGAGAAAAAGTCAACTTCAAAACAGAACCATTTTTTACTTCGTTACGATTTTTTTCCGTTATGTAGTTTTCATTATTATTTTCGGAAAATTGAAGGGCATATAGTTCCGGCTCTGACAATCCCCATCCATTACATAGGTCTTGGATTATAGCAGCTAAAGGCTGCTTTTGATTAAAGCTAATTAATTGAGGGACTTGATCGTCCATTTCAACAGCAATTTTTACAACATTAGAGTCTTTTAAAGCTGGCATTTTGACTGTTTTTGTATTCATTACTTGTCAAACTAAAATATTTACTTAAATGTTAAACAAAAACAAACATTAATTAATTTGACATTTTAAAAAAAAACCAAGGAATACACTATTTTTGCCATCACTAATTAATTTAATTTAATCTAATGCCACTGCAGTTCAAGTAAAATGTTTTTTTTTTGAAGAGTTCTTATTACAATGCCTATGATTGCTTTTTAAAATGACGTTATATCATTTCGGAAATTGTTTAGCTTTAGTTTACGTTCCATACTACCTGACATACAAATTTTCCGGACTGTAAGTATCCTCTTGCATTTTTTTTTCCTATATGAATTCATAGTCATGATTTTTTTTTTCTATTCAGGTCGGAGTATGGAACTTTTTGGAAATGTGTTCAATCAGGAATGATGTATATGTTAACGCAACTTTGTAAAATGATGGTTCTCGCCACTTTTTTCCCGACTTTAGACTCAACCGGTTGTACCTTGTTTGAGTTTTGCAAAATAAGTGTAGACTTTGCTGATTTAGTAGGATTGTATCTCGTTTTGTCTAGAATACCCGGCAAAGGTCATGCTAAGGTACTTACAGCAGGTATAGGATGGGCAGGTGCAGAAATTATTTTAACAAGATGCATTTTATTGTGGATAGGAGCTAGAGGTCAAGAATTCCATTGGAAATACATTCAAAAGTGTTTTGAATCAAATATTAGTTTAGTAAGTAGCATGTTTTAATACTGTTGCATTATTAGTCAGCAGAAATAATTTCCGTTTTTTCTTTTTAGATGCAACATATAACAACAGCAACATTGGTGTGGCTATGGACGAGACACGATTTAAAAAAAACCTTTGTGCCTGCTGTGTTAATGCTTTTGGGACTTTGTGTATATAAACCATTTGTTTTAGATTTCTTTATAATAATGCTTGATATTGGTCCTTGGACTACTTTAATTCTTAAAGCTGCATTCACATTAATTATTAGTGTTGCATCCCTACAGATATATGCTGGATTAGCCCATTCAATTGGTATTTTTTAACAGTCAAAGCTATTAAAAAAAAAAAACCAATAAACTAGAACATAAAATTAAAATAATTATTCAAATTTATGTTATTATTTTATTTATCAGTAATTTATTATTTTCAAAATATAAGGAATGTTATATTTACACATATTTAAATATTTGCATCTAATTATGTTTTCCTAAAAATCCCGACTCTAAAAAATCTTCTAATATTTGTAAATCTAGAGAGATAATATTATACTGATATGCTAGATCTTCATAATATTTTAAATAAATTAAGTTTTACTTACAAAGTTGAAAACAGGCACTCTATTAGATGAAATTTTCCACTTCCTGATAAAAAGAAAAAAAGTTAATTATTATATTATAATAGTAGTAATTAGTTATAAACTCACTAATTTATAAATATATATAATTTTTTGAATTAATACTTACTCGAATAACCAAGTAGAAATTTGAGGTTCTATATATTTTATTCACATTAGAATTTTTCTCGTAAGCTAAATTGTAAAAAATGATTGACTCACTACAACAAAAAAAATATAATAATTTTATATTAAAAATTTAATTAAAAAGATTACGGGTTTTAATACTTTAAATATTTTTTTTATTCGTTTTCAACTTAAAATATTTTTTTCACATATTAAAGCAGTATTAAAACCTCAATTGCAATAAATTTTACTATTTACATACATATATAGATCAACACATTAAAAAAAAAACAAATAATAATTTTAATAAATATAAATAAATTCAAAATATTATCAAACTTGTATATATATTATTATTATTATATTTTTTTTACAATTATTTAAATACCTAAAACATTTAGAAATTATTATTATCGTTAAAACATGGAGTTAAAAAAAAAAAGAAAAAAAAATTAAAATATACTTAAATAAATCAATAATTCAATTAATATAATTATGAAAATTAAATAAAATAATGTTGATATTGAAACAAGAAGTTTTACAAGTAAACCCTATTATCTAGCCATTTCTAAAGCACCAGTGATTATACAGATTATATAAAAAAAAAAAAAAAGATACAATTTTACAACACTCAAAACTAAGATGGTGAACATTGCAATCTTCTTCCTTGAGTACCTAAATCTTCATCGTTATCCGAATCGGGTGAACTTTCTGCACTGCTATTTACGTCTCTTGAATCTCCGCAACCAGCTCTATTTCTCGCTTGCTCTCTTTCTTGTCTCTGCATTAACAAAGTAATTAAAAAATAACAAAGTAAAAAAAAAAAAAAAATACAAATTAAATAATAACAAAAAATAAAAAAAATACCGCGCGTCTATCAGTGCGTCTAATGTGCCGCCATAATATCCATAACATTTGTCCATCCAAAGCATCAGAACTACGAGAAGGATCCGCATGACGACCTTTTAAATTAGTTATCACAGTTTTTTTTAAACCTTCCAAAGTAGGCTCCTAAAATGATTACAAATAATTAGTCATGTGATCATAAAAACGTAATTCAAAATGTAATTTTTTGTTATAACAAATAACCTGTTCACAAGAAGGCACCCAAATTTTGACATCTTCGTCGAGCCCACTTGTAGCCAAAACGGGTATTTCAGGATGAGGTTCCAAACAATTAACGACACCGTTTTCATCTCCAGCCATCCATTGAACAATAGCTTCAGTCTCTCTTTCCCAAAAGAAAATGTTTCCACAGTCCGAGCCAGAAACAATAAATTCAGATTTGGGACCGAAAAAATTTACACCTAAACAAAAGAAAAAAAAGTTTCAATCAAAAATGTACGATTGTTAATTTTTGAAATTTAATTTTGCCAAACCGAAAAAAAAGAATACCTTTAACGGTAGCACTGTTCCTATGCCCTTGATAACGGTGTACAAAATCACAGCCATCTGAATGTCTTGTGTCAAATAAATATATGTCTTCGTCATTATACGAGGCAACTATTTCAGTTCCATTATAATTATATACAGCACACGTTACGTGAGGATATGGCTCTTTCTTTAATTTAAATAAAAATTTTCATTTTTTTATTTCATTGTAATAATAATAATAATTGAGAAAAAAATTCATCCGAAACATATTTTTACAAAAAAAAAAAACAAACCACTATTAAATGTTGCGGGCAAAATTTACTTTTGGGAGATGATGTGTTTCTTTGATCATATATTCTTAAATAATTATCCCTTCCGGAAACTACAAAATCCCGATTATTCAACGGATTTGAATGTACAGAATAAAGAGAAACTTTTTTGGCGCCTTCTTTGACGAATAAAACTCTTAAATAGAAAACCACGTCAAAGTGAAAAAGTTTTCTTATTTAATGATTGCACACACATTTATTAAATATCGAAAATATTATTGAAAAAAAATTACTTACTTAGCTGGTTTCGATTGACGTACATCGAGACTCATAACAAGGGCATCTTCCCCGCAACTAAGGAAGACATGAGGCATTTCATTTTGAGTTGCTAATTTATGAGCTGGACCGCGATGTTGAGCCAATTTTCTTGAACCTCGAAGTTCACCACTACTTCCAAGTTCAACAAGTCTGATTTGACCATCTCTGGCACAAGTGACCATGTGAGTGTCTCCCACTAAAGGCAAAAATTTAGCCTGAAAACGATAAAGTTCCCTTTAAGAAATGCCATTTTCGATAGAAATTTTAAAAAAAAAAAAAAAAAAAAAAAAAATTACCTGAAATACATTACTTTTGTGACCAGTAACAAAAGAAGTTAATAATTTTCCTAGAGGCCAATCCCATAAACATATTTGCAAGTCATCAGAACCACTAGCCAATAATGTTCCAGATGAATTAAAATTTAACGAATTTACACATCCACTATGATATTTGAGCTTATACATAAGTTCAAGTCTTTGAACGGAGTGTAATGATCCATACATTCTTTGTTGAAAAAGTTCCGGCCCTTGTTTTGTATTCGAACATCCAATTTGTCTATTACAGTACATGTAGATGATATAAGCAGCCATTATTATAAACTATTTCATTATGTAAATACGACTGAAAATACCTATTTATTATTTCTGGAGTAAGAAACCATTTGTGCTTTGGTTTTTGTTTAAGTAATACACTTGGAGGATCTTCTGTGTCACTATCTGCCAAATCATATTTGCTATCTTCCAATGCTGAAGTACTAGAATCACTGCTGCTTGAACTACTACTGGTAGATGATAAACTGACTTGATCATCAGATTTTTTTGTCGAATCATCGATACCTCTAAAAATTAATAATTTAAAATAAGTTTTTTTTAAATTATGAAAATATTTTCAACTTGATTAACAAAGGGTAAAAATAATTTTAAAGTACTTCTTACCCTAAACTATCATTAGAATGCCATTCATTTGTTTCGATTGATTTATTGAGCAATTCAGTCTCTTTTTCCATTGCTTCATTACTAGAGCATGGTTCAGGCACACCTAAATCAGGGCTGCTTGGATTGTTTTCAGTAGTGTTCTGTATATCCTAATTAATTTAATTAAAATAAATTAAGATAATGGATTTGGATAAAACTATAAAAATAAATAATAAATTATAATATATTACACACAATCATTTTTACTAAACATAACTTTTTTATGTATCCTATTAACAGATTAGGTTTCAGTTAAAAAATTTACCCAATCGATAATTATTTTATGTAAGCATTCGAAAAAATAAAAACAACAGGCCAAAAATCAAAAGAAAGAATTGTGGAACTAAGTTTTAGAGTAACTTTTTCAAAGTAACAAACTTTCATTTTAAAAATTATTATTTTTAATACAAAAAATAAAAAACATTTAGCAACTATGTGTTTAGTTTTTCACCCATGGTAAAATATATTTTACATATAAAAAATTAAATTGACAATCAAACTAAATATTTTTTAATAAATAACTGAAATTTATTATAATGCAGGTAGCTTAGAATTGTTTTTGATATACAAAGAAAAGATTTTAAGTGATAGTAAAAATAAATTTAGACAAAATATTAAAAAAAAATAAATGTAAAATTTTACCTCAACTTCATCATAAATGTCATCAGAAGTTTCTTTATCAATTCCAGAGTCGGGTTGATTTCGATTTCTGTAATTTCGATTTTTAAAATGTGGTTTTATTTTAGGAAAAGCATCTCCCTTCCCATTCGATGCTTTTGTTTCGATTATTTCTGAAGAATCATTCACATTAGCATCACTATTAACGGTTTCTTCACCATTAATTTTTTTTTTTTTAATTGATTCCTCACCACATAAATTTGAATCATTCTCTGACAATCTGTTAATATTACTTATTTGTCTTTTACCTGAATTCTCAGATCGAGTAGGACTATCAGAATTAGAAGAATTTTCCGATAAAAATGATTCTAATTTTGAATCGTCTGTGTTTTCCATTTTTTAATTAATATCCTTTAAATATATATATATATACTATTAATCAATTAGTAAAACGCACGCGATTGTCGTATTAAAAAAAAAAATGTATTCAACATTTGTTTCTATTCGCCATGTCTAAATCTATTAAAATTTTTTTTTTTTTTTTTTTTTTTTAACAAGATAACTGCATGACAAAAAAAATATAATAAAAAATAAATTGAAATCGCGGCTACATAATTATTTATTTAATTACGAAAATACTTATTCCGTAAAATCACAAAGCAGTAGACGAATAATTATTTTCAAAAAGAAAATATAAGTGTAGGAAGAAACTATATTTGTTACATTGCTAACAAACTGTCGAATTTGTCGCTATTTCGTTTATTTAAAAAAAAAAATTTCTTTCTTTTTTATTTTAAATTTTACCGCGTTTTTATTAATTATTATTATTATTGAAAGTTAGCAGTTATTATTATTTTATTAAATTATTATTCTATGATAAACACCTGTTTTTATTATTTGTAAATATTTTCATTTTTAACCTTAAACGACACAAAAAAAAAAAATAATAATAATAATAATTAAATATGTAATCGGTTTAATTAAAGGAAAATTTTTTGTTTTTATTTTTCACATGGAAAAAAATAATTAATAATGTCAAAATTTATAAGTTACTTTTCAGATGTTTTAAATTTAACCGTGGCAGGAAATGACGAAAAGGGAAATCAAAATGAAAAATTGAAAAATATTAAAAATTGGCCTCGTAAATTAATTTTTTCACAACCTTATTATGTTGAAAATGAAAATGAAAAGAAATTAGTTACGGTTTCATCGATTGGAGAATCACCAAATGAAGAAAGCAACGATTTTATAAGAAAAGGAAAATGTATTATTAAAAATGGTAAAACAGGACTTATTGAAGGATTATTATCTGGAATTTTTTTAGGAGGTGGATTAGGAATTCTTAAAAATGCAAATTTATTTGGAAATTCTAAAAAAAATTATGGGAAAAAAAAACAAGGCTCCGATACGGATAATGATGATGAATCCAATGTTAATGATAATATTATTTTTGCAACTGCTTGTAACGGTGCTATTATTTTGGGAGTTTTTTGTACAATAGTCAGCACCTTAAGGGGAGCCATGTTGTGTAATTGAATTTTTATTTTGTACGCTCAAAATATACAAATTTTATGACAAAATGTAAAATCCAAAAAAAAAAGGGGAATCCAACAAATCCCAAGGGTTATATGACAAGGTTATTACTTTTATTTTATCATTATTATTTACACAAAGCCATATTTTAAATGAATAAAAATGAATAATGATCAACTAGTTAACAAAACTTATTAAGTCCTATTTAATAACCTTTTATGTACAAAAGAAAATTATACCAAATAAATTTTTATATTGTATTCAAAAAAAAAAAAAAAAAAGTTTTTATTAATGTAAACTTAAAAACCCAATTTTATTGAATTAATCAAATATGTGTTCAAAACTCTTATAACCCAAATATCAACAAAAAAATTCATTTAAATAAATAAATTTTACATTAATCTAGAATTTTCCATAGCAGAGAAAATTTCAAAGTTTTGAAAATTTTAAATAATATTTATAAAAAAAAACATGTTTCCATAGAATAATAAAAACCGTTAAACTTAAATTTTAAAAATATATATATATGTTGTTTTTTTTTTTTTTTTAAATGTTTGTATAAAGGAAAATAATAATAATAATAATAATGATTTGTTACATTTATTTAAACATCTATGGTTTTTATTAATGAAATTATTAAATATCAGAAAATAAAAATTTTTTTTTTCTTTTTTTTTTTTTTTTTGTATTCGTTTTCAATCAAACACAATTGTTTGTTCTTTTTTTTTTTTTTTACAAAAAAAATTAAAACCCTACAATGAAAATTTTTGTAAAAATTTTATTAAACTATCATTGATTTGTTTTTAAAATTTTACAAAGTACCTCACGCGATTTGTTTTTAATAAATTTTACACGCTGTATTATGGAAAGTATATTTAATAACATAAATGAATTATTAAAATATTCAGTTGTTAAAGCAGAAAATAACGATGATATTCAATCTCAAAATCAAGGGATTACAAATGATGACACCATCAAACAAGAAAGTTTTAAAAATAAACTTAAACGTATTTACGAAGCAGCTAGACATGGAACTCGAGAAGGAGTTCTTACTGGAATATTTTTTGGAGGGTGTTGGGGAATATATAAATCAATTAAACTCGATTTAAGTTTAAATTCTTCGCTTTCGTCAAAAGAAAAAAAAGTTAATTCAAATAATGAAAATGCAGAAAATAAAAACAACAACACAAACACAAACACAAACACCAGCAGTGGCAACAACAATCTTAGCAATTTTCTTTCAAAAAGTAAAATGAATTTAAAACAATTTATGAGAGATAATAAATCGAAAGTATCGAAAGACAAAAGTGGTATTATTGAAAATAATAAGCCTAGTGAAAGTGATAATAAAAATCCTGAACCCGAAAACAATAAAGATACAAATCCTCCGATTAAAAAGGAAGAAGATTCGATGCAAGTTAATTTAAAAGCAATTTTAAAACACGAAAGCGATTCATCAAAGGGATATTTTACAAATCCTGAAAAACTTGGAATTAAAGTATACGAAACTGATTTTCCCGAAGAAAAAATTAAAAAAAACACAGAGAACGGAGAGGTTGTCGGTTATGCCTTCATACACTCCGAATCATTTGATGAATTTGACGAAAAAAAAAAAAAAAATAATCCCGAACCGCCAAAAACCGGTAGAAATGAAACGAAACTCACTCAGGAAGTCCGTCAAAAAGAAAAAATGATAGGGAATGATGTCAAGGTAGTACAATCAACCAAACGAACGACCATGACACATCATAATGAAAAAGGTAAAGTCGTATCGATAGCTTCAAGTCGAGAAGTTGAATATATGAAAGTTGAAAAAAGTAAAGTCAGTAAACATTTATCGGGAAATAGTGCAGAAAAACCAAATTCAAATGTTAAAAGTTCAAAGGGAGTCATGACTGACCCATCAAGTGTACTGTGCATACCATTTAGAAAATCAACTTCAGAGGAATCTTCAACAACAGGAAGGAGTACATCCTCTAATGTAATACCTAATAAAACCGGACATGAAAAAAGAGAACCGATTAGTGGAAAAGGAAAAAGTAACGTCGGAATAATAACAAAAAAAACAATAATGACGGATTATAAAGAAAAAGCAACCATTTCCGTACACGGATGGAGACATTTGAGTAAGCCAAAAGACGATAATAATACTTTTCCTAGTCGATCCCTCAGCAAAACAATATTAAGAAATGCGGATTCAATAAGCGATAGTTCTAATCTTTCGGTTATAAATGAAAATCAAAATTTGGAAAATGAACATGTCCCTGCTGCTCACATAAATGAAAGAAACGCATCAAACATAAGTGAAATCGTTGGTTCCGATTTACAAAAACAAAATGAAACGTTGCCGTCACCAACAAAAAGTACCGAAAAAATTGAAAATAAATTAATATCAATGGGTAGCAATATGACGTCAGAAAAAATAAAAAGTGACATTAGTTTTTCAAAATCATTTAATAACGATAATAATAATAATAATGATAATAATAATAATGATAATAATAATATTAGTACTATAAATAATAAAAGTGTCGATCACGTTCCTAGTACGCATTCGGTACTAAGTAATGCATATCCGTCAGAACATGATTTGGGTTCTCCTCCAGCGGAATCTACCAATTTACAATCTCAAGGTATGAATTTGACAAAATCCTCCATCAGCGGTACAACATCACAGAAATTATCTGAAGTTTTTAAACATTCGCAAGAAAGTCAAGACAAACAACCGGAAATAAAAGGACGTCCAAGTATTGCTAAAAGTACATCTAGTATAATGCAAAATTTGGGATTATTTAAATATGGGGATAGTAGAAAATCATCGGATGTTAAAACAACAACAACAACAACAGGGAAAGAGATAACAACACCAGGGAAAGAGATAACAACATCATCACCCAAAGAAATAACAGCAACTCCATCAAAAACTAAATTTGATTTCTTATCAGCAATTAATGATAACATATTAGTTTGGAGTGCGTGTAATTGTGCTCTGATTTTAGGAGTTTTATGTGGAGTCATAAGTTCCACGAGAGCTTCTTTAAGCATATAAAAATTTTTTAAAAAAAATAAAAACAATTTTTTAAAATAATTTTTTCTACGTACGATTTCATTTATTATTTAACAACTTTCCAATCAATAGTAATAAAATGTAAAAAAAAAAAAAAAATCTTAATAATAAAATCACAGCCTTCTGGTAACATATTAATAATAATAATAATTATTATAAAGGGGGTAAAATAAAACGATTTTTTAATGGGCAATTTACGCGTTTTTAAAAATTTCCGTATAAGGTACGTCCGATATTAATTTATTTATCATATTATAATATAAAGAGGAATAAATTTTTTCCAAAGATGATTTAACACCGTTCATAACTTCTTTCGAATTATTTCCGATAAAATGATTAACGGCATCACCTGAAAATCATCAAATCGCGTAATCCATGAAAAGAAAAATGGAAAAATGAAAAACAAAAAATTTTCTTTTTTTACTTACTTAATTGTTTGTTTCCGCTAAATAAATTCGTTATCGTTACGAAACATTTGTCGAAAGTGAAATAAACTTTTAATTTAATTAAATTAAATATAATAATTTCTCCTTTTTCTTTTTTTCTACGTCCATCCATGACGAAATCGACTTTTGTATCCAAATATGTAAAATTAGCATTTCCCTCACCGATTATAGGGAGCAAAAGAAGTTTTCCATTTCCTTTATATTTTCCGTGAAGAGAATAATATGGAAGTGTTCCATTCAATATCCATCGATCGTTTATCGTATCGATTCTAAATCGATTAAGAAACGAACAAAAAATTAATAAATTATTATTATTATTATATTGTGGGAAAAAGAAAAGCGATTTTCTTACGATGCCGAATGAAAATTTAATGTTGATAAACCCGTGTGTATAGTATCGATTAATTTTAATTTTAACGATATCGGTTGATTACTTTGATCGATGTTCATTTCGTGGATTTTTAAAGGATCCAACGGTGGAAAATTTAAATTTTTTATACCTGAAAAGAAAATTTTTTTAAAAATATTTCACGGGAGAAAAACGAAAAAAAAAAAAATGTCAAAATTTACCTTTTGAGAGTTGTGGTATGAGTAAATTTGCCGATTTAACAACGCAAACGTTTAAATTTTTATCATTTATATCGCATATCGGTATTAAATCACCTAAAAAATTATTATTATTATTATTATTTCTTATTAATAAATAAAATACATAAACTTATTTATTTTACGATATTATTATCATTATTATTTACACGCACGATTTTTTTTTTTTTAAATAATTTCACTTCAATGGATACACACGAGAAAAAAAAAATTTTTTTTTCTATGTAATAAATCAAAATAATTTATTTTAATATTTAAAATATAAATAATAATATTAACAATAATAATAATAACTTACTTAAACTCATTTTCGCGGTAGAAAATTTAAATAATAAAATAATTAAAACCGTCTTCATTTTGCTAATGATTATCTATCACTAAATTTTTTTTTAATTTTTATTTTATTTTTTTTTTCAAGTATTAAAAAATGAGAGAGAGAGAGAGAGAGAAAGAGAGGGAGGGAGGGAGAGAGGGGGAAAGGAATTTTAATACCTTGTGGCATTAATCACACATGTATGCCAGTAAATTATAATTTATTAACAATAATAATAATAATTATTATTATTTTTTATTTTTATTTTTTTACAACGTTTTTTATTTAACCTAAATAAAATAATAATTTGATGACGTCATTCAATAATTCTAGAATTGTAAATTTAAAATTTAAATTTAAAAACAAAAGAAAAAATTTTATAAAATCATAGATGATAATAATAATATTAAAAAGAGAGAGAGAAAAAAATAAAAAATAAATCAGAGCACTTAGATACTAAAACATTTTTTTTTTTTCATCCCTTTCCAACATTTTACTTATGGGAAAAATTTTTTAAATAAAACGAAAAAAACCAAAAATTTAAAAATGATTCTTTTTAAATGTTACCGGAAAACACAATTCCCATTAAAATTATTCAAAAAAACAGAATCCTCATATTCCCTTTCCCTTTCCTTTTTGTTTATTAAATAAAATTTTTTACAATTTTGTTTACAAAAATAAAATCCATTTTTTTTTTCCCCTGTAATTATAATAAACATGTATAGATTGAATTAAGCAAAAAGAAAAAATGGTTAAAAAACCGGTAAAACAAGTAAAAATCCCAAATGAATCCCTAGAATGGAATCCACAAATGAAAGAAAGTTGGCATTTGGAATTAGAGAACGAGGAGGTAAATGAAGAGAAATGGTCATGTATTGTTGTTGCCATAATTCAAAGCAAGGTATAATAATTATTTTTAAAAAAAAATAAAACCGGAAGTCGAAAAAGTGAAAGTTATATAATAATAATAATAATAATTTCTTCCGGTTTGTACCTACCATTACAAAAACAACAAAAAATTAAACAACATCTTCGTTTTATTTTTTTTTTTTTTTCCTTTCACTCACCTCGAATATTAATTATTTATTTTACGAAAAAAAACCGCTACGTAATATTTTTTTTTTTAAATGTTTTTTTTTTTTTTTGTTGTTAGAGAGAAGACGAAGAATGCATAAAACTTTTTAGCCGTTACATACAAAACGAAACAAAACCCGATATAAAAATCATAAACATGTCCGATATAATAAAAGTTTTGAAAGAAAAAAATGTCAATGATGATAATAATAATGAAAAATATAAAAAAAATCAAAAAACGTCAAAAGAAATTCAAAATAAAAATAAAATCGAAGCCAAATCGCCACCGGTTAGAAAATCTCAAATCGTTCATTTGGGACGTAAATATGGGAAATTTACGGATTTGGAATGTCAATTGCCGCCGGATTTGATGGCGGCCATACTCAAATATTTAATATTAAATATAAAAGATGAAAATATATTTAATAAAAAATCGGACGACGTCAAAAGGGAAAAATTATTTAAATTGGAAACGAAAATTCAATTCGTTAAAAATATCAAACCTTTCGTTCCGGACGACGAAACGAATAATTTAAAATTTAACGTAAAAAGTAATGGTAAAATAGATAAGGGAAAAAATTTTCTCGACGAACATGGTTTCGGCCCTGATTTATTTATCGTTTTAACGGATTTTTACAATCCATTTTACTTCGCCGAATTAACCAAAATCAAAGTCCCATTTTTGGCTATAATTAAAATATTTAATTTTAAAGAGATTTTATTTGAAAAATTTCATCAAGCCGTAATTCTAGATGATAATTATTATTATTCGAATAAAGAAAATCTCGTTAATAATTTTTGGTATTCTCTAACGGAAAATTGCGAAACATTAGAAAAAACTAAACAGTTTAAAGATATCATTTTCGTAGAATATCAACCCCAATTGCAAAAATCATTCGAATCCATTCAGTCCATATTCGATGAGATATTCGATGAAATGTCGACCGTCGTCTACAACATTTACATTATTTATTTCGAACATCAAATATTTCTCCGGGAAATGTACGTACAAAGAATGTACGAAGCACTCGAACCATTGAATTTAAACGAATGTAAAATATATAATAGCCTTTGCGAAGCTTTGGTCACCGGAGATACCAACACCGTTTTTTTGGTATTGTATGCAATTTTGGAACAAATCGTAGCCGGAGTGCCCAACACCAAACACAAACACGTCGATTATATTTTACCCGAAGATAAATATTTACTTACCCATTTTCACGAGGATAAATCCAGGAGTCAAATAATACCGAAAGACGAATCAAAAAAAAATTTCCCACTCGTAACTCCATGTTTACAATGTAGAAATAAATTGATGATTCCAAACGTCTGTCAAAATTTATGCGAGCATCGGGATTTGGAAAAAACGAACGATGGGTCGGTAGGCAAATTTTTACATTTTCCTGTATGTAATTACAGGATCAATGACTTGAAACCTAAAAAAAAAAAAAAAAATGATAAAATATACGTTTTTTTTCTTTTCTTTTCTTTTGTTTATGATAAAGGGTAGCAAAGGATTCAGATTTTAAAAAAAATGAAGATGGCACAACACACGATGAATCAGTAATGTTGAAACCGATTGAAAACGACGCCATAACACAAAATTTTATCGAACAAGCAATTCGAGAAAAACGTATGGAAAAAAATTATAAAAAATACATGAATCCTCCGAAAACGTTTTTTTACGGCGATGAAATCGGAATACGAAATTACGATTGTAATCCGAAATTAATCGATATAAAAAAAACTTGTAAAAGATTTCTTAAAAACACGTACATTTCTCATTTGTGGACTCAATACCCAAAACTCAATCCGGGGAAAAAATCTTTTTTCGAATTTCATTTTTTACAATTGTTAAAATCCACGAAAGAAAACAAAGAATCGTTAAAAATAAAAATATTTTTCGTTCTTTGCATGAAACTCATCGGAGTAATTAAATTTTATTTATATAACGGAGAAGAAGAAAACATATCGGAAACGTTAAGAGAATCCATCGTGGATAAGATAAAAATATTTCCCAAAGTCAAATTTGACAAAGAGTATGCCGTAGAAGAAACCAAACATGAAAAAACGTTCAATTCGTGCGCGTTTAAAATATTCGACAGATTTGAAACATTGAAAAAAAAAATTACATCGAAAAAAGGGAAAATTGATAAAACGAAAGGATCTTTCATAATGGATCCGTTGACTCTTCGGGAAAGCAACAGCATTCTTAATATAACGATTAACCCTCACAAAAATAGCGGACACTGGTTTTCCTACGCTTTCAAATATACAAATGGATCAAATGCCATGAACCCGATAATAAAATCTAAAACGAAAAGACAAATGGCAGCCATATTTTCTTTATTAGATTGCAACGAAATCTCGAGCATAACCGAACCTCACATATTGAGCGACAACGAAGAATATTTAAATTTAATTGGAAATTTTAATTTTTACGAAAAACTCGAACCCTTGAGAATGATACAACAGTTGTTGGATGCTTTCGAAGAATACAACACGACACAATGTTTATATTTTTCTCCAACGGATTCCATAATAACAATTTTACACAACGATACCGACCACAGAGGATTGTATTATACATGCGGCTACAGCAAATTACTCACCCCAGTTTCCCTCCGTGATTTTTACAGTCATTTATACATTGAAATAAAAAAATGGTTGAACGAAAAGAAGGAAAAATACAAACAATTTTCGGAAAAATACAAGGAAGAAAAGAAAAAAATGTTTGAAAAAATGGAAAATGATTATATGATTAAGGTACAAAAACAATATGACGGAATGTCGGAAGAAGAAAAAGAAATATTTTTAAATAAAATTAAAACCAATTATATTCGTTGCGCAAAAGAAATCGAAGTTTTCGAAGAAGAATTAAAAGATTTACCGATCAAACCAAAACTTCAATGCCTGAATGAAAATTCATCATTTTTAGTCACAAATTATTCCAACGTTCGAGTGGAAAATCAAAAAAAAATTCAAGAATATTATTCACAAGATGGCACCGAAATAAATGTTATTAAAGACACGTGGCTATACGACCCTACTTGCCTTTTAAAACTCAAAATAAAAAAATCAAAATTTATATTTTTTTTCTATCATTTTCTCGGACGAAAAATCATTCCCAAATTCACATTAAAAACAAATTCTGGAATTATTTTTTTTTTTTATAAAAATTTGAATGATTTAAAGTATAAGGTTGACATTTCATGGCCTACGGGATTAATCATACGAACGATGTCTGTCGACAAATCAAACATGTACATAAAACAATATTATTTAACGGATAATAAAATTATAAATGAAAAAAGTCGATGTTTTTTAAAAAATGGTCAAATTATAATATTTAAAAACAATGGTAAAATTGAAATTTTATGCTCGAACGGAACAAAGCACGTATTAAAAGAATTTTTTAATAATCCGATGGAATCGGATGTATACGAATTTGGCAATGGATTTCACATAACAAATTACGAAACAATAACGCCTTTGGGTGAAATTTGGCAAACAACAAATAAAAATCCTTGCAAGAAAGGTTCGAAATTCCCGAGGAGTAATAAAAAATTAATTGATTTGATTAAAGTTTATTCTGGAACAGATCCCCTCAATCAAGAAACTTATGTCAAGAGAGATGATGGTGTGAGTAGCATGTTATGGCCCAGCGGGGAGCTCGTCGTTAACTATCCTGACGGTACGAAAATAACATCGACACCGAAATTTTGCGAAAATGAAATTTTCATCGATTGGACGGAAGATGAAAAACTTGATATAAAAAAAATCGAATCGAAAATTCAAGAGAGAAAAGATGATTACAAAACGAAAAATAAAACAATATTGAAAAAATTAAGTTCGAGTTTTTTTTCGGAAATTTCAACGTCCGAAAGCGAAAACGAAGGTTTTATTCTCATAAAAATATGTTACGTCATTGAACATCCATATTATGCCACCGTTACCTACGATACAGAAAATTCTTTTATGCGTTTCAAAATGCCCGAAGATTTTTATATAGATATTGGTAAGAATGGAGAATACGAAGTCAATAATGATAATAATTTTTTAAATGTTAATAAAGATGTAATAACTTTTAACACGGTTTGTAACAGTTGCAAGGGTAAAAGTTCAGCAGCAATATCTTTAGATGGAAATGATATTTTGTGTAAGTTCACTGATTTTTTTGGTGATACTTTAACCGTTTTTAAAAATGCAGAATCACATTATCAAGAATCTAATTGTGGTAATAATGCAGTCAATAACACTCAGTGTAAACATTCTAAATCGGTATCACAAAATCAAAGATGTTTTGCTTTTGAAAGGAATTTAAACGGCATAGAATTTATTCACTCTGAAAATTTTGCTCGCAATTGTTATAATCTCTCTGATGACACTTATTTTGATTTAGATTCTAAATGTGATGATTCTCCGACTTCAACACATTTGTTTAATATTCCCTATTATAAAGTGGGTTGCGACTTGTGGAAAATGAATTATGAAAATAATAATAATTCTTTACCTTCAAATTTAAAAAAAAAGGATTTGAAAGAATTAGGAGTGAAAAATCCCACAAGAAATTCATTCAAATATCCTTTTCCAAAAGTTCAAAATAATATTAATACCAACAATGATAATTCCGATAATAATAAATGTGAAAATAATAATTATAATAATAATAATATAATTAATAATATCGTTTTAAGTAAAACTCGAATGAAATGGCCAAAAGTTATAGTTACAAGAATAATAAATTGTTTATCAGTCAATCCGAATTCTGTTTTGAATGATTTAAAAAAATATGTTGGTCAATATCAAAAAAATGCATATGATTCATATAATTTATACATTAAATATGGTTCCCAGGATCCAACGACAAATGAAGCTAAATTAATAGCCAAAAAATTAAACACCATTGCTTATACTTTAAATCATTCGTGGGCAAGTTATCCTCATCTTTCAATACCAGTGCCATCGTTAAATAAAGAAATCCACGGTTTTGCCCATTACATAAATTTAATGAATGAACTAGAAAAAGAAGGTGAAAGAGAAAATTTAGATTTACCACACTGCAAACAAATCCCTGTCCCAGTTGAAAAAATTACTCATTTTAAATCTATTACAGAAGAAAAAACAATCCCTGAATGAAGAATTACTTTAAAATAATAATCGAATCATATTTGAAATGTATAATGATTGTGAAATGAATGAACTGAAATAATGCAAATGTAAAATAATGCATTGTAGAGATAAATGCAAAATTAAATTATATAAAATAAAGTATTTAAAAAAAAATATTTGTTTTTTCTAATCTTAACGCACCAAATAACTAAATTATTTAAACATATCTTTTTCTTATTTTAATGTTACACTTTGTGTAACAAGTTATCATTTCATAAATGAAACAAACCTTAAATAAATATATACTTATAAAAAAGTTACTTACTGATTAATACTTATGGTAGAAACGATGAAAATTCAACAAAATGTTGCTTCTTTAATTCCATAATAATAATAATGTAACCTATTTATTGATAGCAATTCATAAAAAACATTTAACTGTCACAAAACTTTCCCGAAAGTAAATTAAAAAAAAAAAAATTAATATTACAACCGACTAATTTTTTCACAGTAAAATAAAAGTTTGCGCCACTATGAAAAATTTAAGGTATAAACTACTTAATAAATTCTTTTTGCTGTCGTTCAAATTTCATTTCAAACAATTTCCGTGTTTTTCTTTTTTTTTTTTTTACCACCTTACAAAAATGCTTAGAAGTGTTTTGTTTAAACGTTTTACATCGAACATACCCCTTTTAACGTCAACAAATAAAAAAATACACATATCATCGCAAAATATGATAAAGGTATTTAATTAATTTTTAATTTTAATACATTAAAAATTTTGAATTGTTTTAATTATTAACCTAACTTGGTTAAAATAACGGTAATTATTTTTATATAATACATTGTTTTGATAATGTTTAATTAAAAATTTACTTGTTATTATTATGTTACAAGTAATTTTTTTTTTTATAAATAACATTGAAAAATTTATTATTATTTAAAATATTCGTTAAAGGTGTCATAATTTTTTTTATGCGTAATTATGTTTAGTAACGGTATTGCCCTTTTTTCTTCTATGTGACAATGCTTAATTTATATAATTATGCCAAAATATTAATTTTATCAAATTATAAATACTATGATATGAATTCTATCATAGGTAGGTGAAAGTATACCTTCAATAGATTTATATGAAGGAGATCCAGGAAATTCTATTAATATGGCTGATTTGTGCAAAAATAAAAAAGTTGTTGTGTTTGGAGTTCCTGGCGCCTTTACTCCTAGTTGTTCTAGGGTAATGTATATTAAAATAAAAACTTGTACTATTTTTTAAAAAATTTCAAATATAAATTTTTATTTTCAACAATTATTTTTTAATTATTATTATTTATTTAGAATCACCTCCCTGGATATCTTCATAGGCAGGCAGAATTAAGAAAAAAAGGAGTTGATGAAATTATTTGCATTTCAGTTAATGATACATTTGTTATGGAGGCCTGGGGAAAACTTTATGAGGCAGATGGAAAAGTAAAATATTATAAAAATATATATTTTTCTAACAAAAAACATTGTTACCCAAGCTTTAATAATTAATTTCAATTTCTAGATAAGAATGTTTGCAGATCCAGAGGGAACATATACTAAGACCATCGGATTAGATTTTCTTGTACCTAAATTGGGTGGTATTAGGTCTAAAAGATATTCAATGGTAGTCGATAAGGGAATTGTTACACATATAAGTGTCGAACCTGATGGTGTTGGATTATCATGTTCTTTGGCTTCTAAATTACCTATTTGATGATTTTTATAAATCTTTCATTTTTGTTAAATATATTTTGTATCTTAATTTTAATGATAAAAATAAGTTTAGTAGAATAAGATAAGTATAGTAGGACATACTTATTGCACAGTAGCATGAAATCAAATTAATTTATTACAGCTTCGAAATAAAAATTTTTTTTATAAAATTTTGTATATACATATATATATATATTTAGGTTAACTTGTTTCTATATTTTTAAAATAATGGTAATATGTAATTGAAAAACTTAACTCGATAATAATAATAATAAGTGAAAAATATTAAAGTCTGTTATTGTCATAATCATTTTTAAATTTATTTCACGTGCATTCCCTTGTTATATTCCCTTCCCTATTTTGTAATTATTTATTTCAAAAACATCAAGAGCAAAAAACTTTTTTTAAAAATTAGTAAATTTTCATATTTACGGGAAGAATAAAATTAAATTGTCGTGTAAAAAAACTTAATTTAATTATTAAAACGATTAGTAATATTTTATAGGCTTGAAATTCATGTACAAGTGTTGTAAAACATATTTTTTCATTTTCATATATTTTTCTATAAAAATCATTTAGTAATTTTCAACTTCGTGATGAAATTTTCCATCGCAAAACAAAATATGAAATAACTCGAAGGAATACAAAAATAAGAGCTAATGCAAGAGCGTCGATCCAAAATTGAGCTTCCGACATGTTTAATCGTTCGAGAAATTTAATCGGTGATCTAAAATGGCAGTAAGCCTCCGAACAATCCAATTTTTTCCTATTATAACCGTATAACGAAATAATAACTCCTTCGAAAGCGTACCTAATAAAGCTAACATAAGTAAACCAATGCAAATATCTGGGTATCGTATCGAAATTAACGAAAAATCCCGAAAATAATATAAAGGGTACCGTACAAACGGGTCCTAAATAAACACCATTCTGGAAAAACCGTTTAAAAGAATATCGTCATTATTAAAACCGTTAAAAATTAAAAAGAATTATGAAAAAAAAATGCATTACCTGAACATTCATGGCAGCACCGATGAGCAATCCTATGCTTTGAGACACTAATGAAGTTAATATTGAAACACACAAAACCATAATGAATCTGGAAGCTTCCAAAGGTTGCGAAGTCATAAAATAAATTATTGAAACGTATACAATTGAAAATAAAACCTAATTTTACAAAAAAAAAAATTATTAAAAGAATTTTTTTTTTTATTAAATATAAATAAAAGTCAAATTAATTATTTTACCTGAAAGGGTACGTCAGCAGTGGTTTTAGCTAAGTAAAATGACTTTAATGAATACCAATAATTTAAATGTTCTCGAACAAAAATAGTTCGCTCTAGAGGAACTGGAAAAAAAAAAAGAAAAGAAAAGAATATTCAAGTTGAAAAATTGAAACTAAATACTATAATACTTCTTCCAGAATTTATTATTCAAACTCACATGTTAAAATTGTTGGCATCATGGCCGTAAATACAAGAAATAAAACAGCTATAAACATACAACCGGAATTACTGAGAACTTTATATGCATCGTTACCTATTCCTTCATAAATAAAACCTATAAGAAGTCCCACAATAATGTGAGATATCAATCTTATTCTTGTAAGAGTCTAAAAAATTAAAAAAAAAAAAAAAAAAAAATTTTTGCGATATTGCGACAAACGAGATTGGAATTCATGCAATGGGAAAAATTAAAATCTACCTTGTCTCTCATAATTGTTAAAAATGTTCTTTTTAATAAAATGTAGAATTGAGTCCATGAAGAAGTTGGAAAACCGATTTTGTGCTTTCGATTTTTGTTTAGAGATTCATCTGAATCGAGGAGAGAAGTGACGCAAGTTATTGGAACTGTTAATGTCGTCGATGCTGGTGGAGATATTTTACATACATCTATAATA